TGCATTGCCAACCCAACAATGTTCTTTTCTTTGCTTTTTAAATACAAAGCTGTACATACATAAGGAATAAAAAGCTCTAATTTATTCTGCAAAAGTGTTCATCAAGTGAGAGACAGGACTCTGGGAAAAGATTAAGAGCTTACATTTTTCATTTGACTTATTTCACATAAAATTTCATAGAGGATAAAATGATGGGAGGCAAAGAAGCAATGATATTTCTGTTTTATCTCTGTCTAAGGACCATAAATCTTTCTGAAGTATCATTAATTATAGCAGCGCCATTCACAATGCTATTGTTAAGGGTCTATCAGCAATCCCATTATAAACCCCTATTTTCAGAGGTTTATAACTTGGTTAGAAGAATTTTGTTTCAGGCAAAAACTTCGCTGGGGCAATGTCTCCATCTAAGACAATTTTTTTTAAATGTAAAACACAAAGGAAAGTATTACCTCTTTTGAACTGAGTAAGGGAGAGGCCAGGGAACTTTCTAGGGGTACAAAGCTAATGCTGTCTTGGCTGTGTCTATACCATTTGTGAATTCGTAAGGCTGTACTGAGAGAAGTTATCTCTTAGCTGAATTTAGATCACTCCTTTACAACACAACTTTCCAATTACTATAACTGAATTCAAGATCTGGAATATTCCTCTAGTGGCTGTAATCAAATCAGATTTGATTTCTTCTTTAGCTGCAGCCAGTTGAGAAAGAATTTAGCAGACCTGGAAAACAGCTTACATGTTAAGAAAACTTCAGTGTCTTTAGGTAGCTTGACCTTTTTTATTTTTTGTTGCAGGCATGACGTACATCAAGAATCAGTGAAGTTAATGGTCACATCCACCAAAGCGAGTATTGGCTTAGCAGCAATACAGAGGAATTGCTCTGCCACGGCTGAGCCATGGTGAAATGTTAGAGAGGCACTGAGTTTCTCCAGACACAGAGTGAAAAATGCTCTTCAACAGGCACTAGTAAGACTGGGAGGGCACAGGGAAGAAAGGTCGCTGCTTCACCTACGTAACAACACAACCAGGTGGTTTTTGCCTGCAGCAACTTGTAGGTTCAACAAGGAGGCCTAAAGCTCTTCCCAGCTGTGTACTGGCACATTAGGAAAGAGCGAGCGCTCAGTAAGATGGGATCGACAAAATCATTGTGGTCTTTTTCTAAAGCAATAGGTATTAATGAAAGCTAACTTCTGGGAAACCTTTTTTCTTGCTTTCAAGCAGAAAGATTAGATGAAAATGTATTTTGTGAAGAGTGTGCTGACACCCTCAGGTAATCTCCATTCTCTGTCCTCATCAATAATCTAACACTCTACCTTCCCCGTTACATTACTGTCTGCAGTAATGCAATTCACTTTGGTCCCCTTAGATCCTATTAGAATCTCTCACATTACAAAGTTCTTCCAGCTCTGCTCTACAGCGTACCGGCACTGTTTAGTCTTAACTTCTCCTGTTTTTTTTTCCTCAACTACAATTCTTTGCACAGGAGTTGACTTTTGTGAATTGCACATTTAAGCTAGCAACAAGATCAAAATAGGTAATGCATGTGGGTATCATCCACGGGATTCCTAACCTGCTCTGATTCTGCTTTGAACAGTTGAATGTATCCTGTGATAATGAATTCCATTATCTAAAGTACCTTCTTCTACCAGTTTTGATTGTGTTGTCTTTTAATTTCATTGCATGTGTCCTTTGAAAGGATAAATAGGCATGGGTAAATAGAAGAACCCATTTCTTCACATTATTCAATCCCTTATGTACCTTTCTTGTATTACATCTTATTTTTCTCCTTTCCAAAGTAAAACAGTCTTAATGTTTTGTTTGTTTGCCTTTTCTAATACTGAAATCTTTCCATATCTCATATTTTCTTGCTGTTATTTGAGCAGATGTCTTCCTGGAATTCTCCATAGTTATTAAGGACAAGACAATCGTGCTTTGTGATGATATCTAAATAAAGGGCTCGGTGTGCAGTAAGACAGAGGTCTCTTCTGGCTGCTCTGTCAACATCAGGGGCTTAAAGTAGGCAGAAGTGGCCCTCTGACAACACTCATAAGGACTGCAGTAGAGGGTGGAAAAATGTGGAAAGCTCCTTTATTTTGTTCATTCTTATTGCCAGAATGACTTTGCAATGCCACTTTGCACCTGGCATAATGCTTCCTAAGTTTAAGGAGAAAATCATTCTTGGCTTCTTAGCTGAAAGTGAAACTCTGACAAACTCAAGTGATGTTAGACTTGCTCTCTGATCCCCAGTCTTATCTGATCTAATTCTGTCTAATCCCCAGTATTTTTTAGATTCTAAACTTTAGAATATCCACTGTTTGCAAACCCGACTCTTCCCATTTTTCTCATTTTACCTATATTGTAGCATATTTCAATACATTGAAACTCCTGAGCCTGACTGTCACGAGCACTCCAACAATATGGTATAAATCTTGTGCTAATTACCTTAAACCAGTGCAACCTCACTTTTTTGACAGTTACTCCTGGTTTTTAAATGATAGAAATAAGAGTAGAATTGAATATCTTGATGTACATCAGGCTTCTTCCGTAGCAGGCAAGTCGGTGGGCCTGGAGGACAGAAAAAAATGAAGCTTTTAAACAGAGGAGATTGCAGAAACCTTAACATAATGCAGAGCTGTCTTTCAGACTCTTTTATTACATAGAACTAAGTATAAGTAGCATTACAAGAAGGTTTACTTTTGTAAAAGCAAAGGAATTCATGCACTTTCACAGCAGGGAAAAATGTCAGGTCTATGAAGGTAGCACGCACTTTTTGTGGTTTTGCTTACCAGTTTTGCTCGAGCAAATGCATTTGCACTGAAAAGTCAGTGTTTTCCCCCAGTGTCCCCCAGATTCCTGCATCATTGTTCCTGCAGTGCAAATGTAAGACTAAATCATGCATTTTACCATAATGAGAAGGTCCAGATGGAGCTCACACTGCAGCAGAAAGGGCTGGACAGGAAAAACCTTGCAGCAGCAGCCTTTCTTTCCCAAGGCCCAGCAGGGCAAAGTGGCAGAAACTGCCGACCAGAGGGATGGAGCAGCACCTCTGTGCAGAGTATAAATCCTTCCAGTCTACCCCAGATTTTCCCTGGTCTACCAGGGAAAAGCACTGAAATTCATCACTGCCTTATCACTTCTGAGAAGCTTTCTGTCCTGCCTTGTGCTCCTTTTCCAAGGGTTATAAAGTACTTCTGTTCCAGGGCACTGCACATGGATATTAAATTTTCATCACAAACATGATGCCATATTTGATTTCAGCATTTATCTATCTTCTATTCTTATATAGCCACACTTACCATAATATCTCATACTTCACAATCTTTAACACATTATTTATCCCTCCAAAAAGCACGTATATGAAAGGTACCTGAAAATAAGCAATAAAGCATTTTAATATTGTTACCATCTGTGGCTATGGATCTTTGAGAATTTTCTTCTCATTAACTCTGGAATGCTATTCATAACCTTGAGACTGATAATGCATAGAAAATTATTTTATCCAACTGCCAACCCCTCCTTAATGTATGCATTAGAGGTCTGCAATTCAAGAATGAGTCTTTTCCAGGCCCTAAATACAGAGTCCTGTCCTGTGCTCAGACAAAAAAAAAAAAAAAAAAAAAAAAAAAAAAAAAAAAAAAAAAAAGGCTTACAGCTCTTACAGAAGCCACATTAATGAAAATAAGGCCTGCATATCCACTCATTTACTTATTTATTTTAAAAGATTAGTATCAAGTATTACTAGTAATATTTAATCCATCCATAGATTTAAGTTTTGTCTGCACTGGCATATTATGTTCTTTGCATAGTTTCCTTTTTAAAAAAAAAAAAACAAAAACAATAACAAAACCACCCACCATTATGAGAATGCTAGTAGCTTTCTAGATCATTCAACATTATTTTTCTTTGTAAAATTAAAATAAAGCAAGCCACAGGTTGCCTTTCAGCCACTGCTGCCTTTGGAGACAATTGTCCACTGATTTGCCTCCCCTCCTCTACAGTGTTACTTGTGAACTTGGAAGGACTATCTAAGGGTTTAAACCCCCCTCACAGTCTGAGGCTGAATGAATTGCAGTTTCCAAAACAGAAAATCAGACTATTGTGGTGTTACACATGACTGTAAATACTCTGAGAACAATTTAGCAGCAGAGACCTTGGGGAATACACTTGATATGATCATAATGGTGATCAAGAGCAGTGGTATCAATTTGAATTTGTCTAGTAATGAAAGCAGAAAGGTAGGCCTGAAAAGACAGTTTCAGATATGAGTGTGGAAAAGTCTCTGGAGACCAGTCAGAACATACTACATCCACTCTGTCTGTCTCACCCAAAAGGACACTAAAACAGGATCCTCAAAGAGTCAAAAGGACCCAGATACCTAAAATTGGATGTAGTTGAAATCCAAGTATGTGCCAAAAGGAAAAAAAAAAAAAAAAAAAAAAAAAAAAAAAGCAAACATGGAAATTCACTGCTTTTTAGCACTTCAGCCCTGGAGCTGCGTAAAACTTGGTTCGTGTTCTCCTTTTATGAATGGAAGGCTGTGGTGGCACCTTTCCACAGGAGGCCAAGAAGCCAGAGGGACAGACACCTCCCGAGCTTCATGCCGCTTGCAGACACCCCACAGCAGTGCTCCGCTCACATGTGGCCTGTCTGCTCCCCTGCCCTATGCTGGACACTTCAGCTTTTGCACCAGCAACCCATCTCTTCGCACATCATTGCAGCTGCCTGTCCTTGGGGAGGCCAAGGAGGGGGGGGCAAGAAATTATTGCACTTTTGACACACCCTTGCAGCTCCCGTTCAGCACCGCTGATGGAAGTGCCAGCAGAGGCCAGACTGCGAGGCGCTGGCAGCAGCGCCTGTGGCTGTGTGGGTGAAGAGAGGCGAGGAGGGAAAACACTGTGCAGAGGAAAGAGCAGGCTGAAAGGAAACGGCCGGCGGGAGCTGAGGGGGAGAAGCCGCAGAGCATTGTGGGAAGGAGCAGCGACCGTTAGCGCAGGGCATTGTGGGGAGGGGCAGCGCGCAGGGCCTGATGGGCGCGGTGGTGGCCGGGAGCCGGCCGGAGCACGCAGGGCAATGGCGGAAAGGAGGGGAAGCCACGCCGGAGTGGGGAGCTGATGCCGCCGGGGCAGTGCGGAGCGGCAGCCCGCGGAAGGGCGGCCCGGCCCGGCCCGGCCCTGCCACCGCCCAGCCCGCTGCGCATGCGCCGGGTGGGTGAGGCCCGGAAGCGCTGCGGTTGCCGTGACAACGGCGTCGCCCCCCGCGGCGCGGCGCGGCCGAGGCGGAGCGGGCCGGGGGCCGCTGGGCTCGGCTGCCCGCCCGCCCGCCCGCCCGCCCATGCCGCGGAAAGCGCTGCGCTGCGTCCTGCGGCTGGACCTCCGCTCGGTGAGTGCCCGCGGTGCGGCGGGCCGCAGGCTGGAGGAGAAGACGCGGTTCGCCCTTTCGGCGCCGCTTACCCGCCCCGCTTCCCCCGCTCGGCCGCCGCCCCGCTCCCCCCGGCCCCGGGGTGGGGGGTGGGTGTGTTTGTTCTTCTGGGACACCGGTCCGGGTTCTGTGGGCGGGGGCCGCCCTCCGTCTGGAACTGCAGCTCAGGTCTGGCTGCTGGGCAGCTTCGGCCCCTCTCGGGGTGTGCGTCCTCCAGCACCCGTGCCCCGTGTCCCTCCGCTGGTGCTAGCAGCAGCCGTGCTCCTTCACGGTTCTCACTTTCCCGTGGAAGAGGTCTTTTTTTAAGAGATGCTGATGCTTGGGAAGATCTGTGGTGTGGGGAAAGCACTCCTGAAAAAACAAAGCAAAAGAAATCTCAGGAAACAGCAGCCTGTACGTGGCATGTGCTCCCCTGTCGGCAATGAAGTCTCTGAGGGGCAGGATGTGGCCCTGGGCAGCTCTGAAGTACCGGGATGTTACATGGGGGGGGGTGGGGGGGTGGGGGAGTGAGGTCAACAACTGTGAAATTGCAAAGTTTTCACATTAATCATGTTAGGAACATTCCTTCTGCACTTTGAAAAGTTTTATGCTTATATACAAGGTGGAAGTAAAGTAAACAGTCTGTATCATTCTCCTGATAAATTTTAAGAAGTAGTTGAGGTAGGTAGCGCTTTGTTACTCTGGAGCTGGTGGCTTCACTGGTCCTGGTCGCTGCAATCCAGAGGTTAGGACCCCTCATGGGGCAAGTGCTGCCAGAATACTTGTGCTGAAAGGAAAAGCTGAGGTGCCTTACAAAAAAATTAAAGTGCATAGCCAGAAAGCATATACTGGGAAATGCACCCGGTATTCCTGGCTGCTTAGCCACCTTTGTTCCCAGACTTGTGTAGCCGCTCTAAACTAGAGCGGTGAATTTCTACACGTAGCTAGTGAAGTTATCACCCTAATGGTCTTGCTCTGCTGTCTCAACAGCTAGTGTTCATCTTTGTAGTGCAAAGGCCTGTTTGGTTCCTGGAAAGGAGCAGATGTGCTTTCCTTTTCTGTTCCTACTGCCGTGAGCTATTCATGTGCCAGGAGACAGTACAGGGAAGGTGTTCTTCTATAGTCAGGCTTCTTCACTTGTGGGGCATTTGTTACTCATCCTGCTCTCAAGGCTACAAATAGTGGAAAGGGACAGAACAGGAAATCTACAACACAGATCTGAGTGCCTCTTTCAGCACATGTCAGTCGTTCAGTTATGTCCCTGCTATGCTGTATAATTTCTCTCAGAGAACCCTTCTAATAAGTGTATTTAGTCTGGTTTTGAACCACTTGTTTTGCCTTTTCTCCTCACTGGCACCTACCTTGGCCTTTTACTCCAGCGATGGTTTGAAAACTTCCCAGCCTAAATTTTCTTCTGGCTAGTTGATGTCTTACTCTTACACAAATGTCAACACTGGCCTTTCACTTCATTTTTTTTTGTTTTTGGTTCTTGGTGTTTTCTCTCTTGATGTATTTTTTGGGCAGCAGTTCTGTCATTTCACAAATGATCTTTGTCAGCTAAAGAGACCTGGTTCTTTTGGTAGTATTTTGTGTAATAAGCTCACCAGTCTTCTGATCATCATAGGGATGGGTGCTACTCTTCCACTTTGAATTTGCATTGATCAGGATCGGAATTGCATTCAGCATTCCAGATGGGTTCTCACTGTTGCCTTAGGTGATATCAGGGATAAAAAGTCCAACATTCATCCTATATGTCTTAATATTAGTCTGTTCACAGCTGCACTGCAGTTATGCTGTCATTTATTAACACACTCATCATCTTCCCCTCAGCCAACTTTGAAGGTCAGCCGCCCCTGTGAAAGCAAAAACTGTTGTTAATACACAGTAGGTGCATCTCATCTCTGTTACTGTGGTCCTGTAAACAGGTTTTTCTCTACCTTTTTGTTGACCTCTGATTTCTGAATTTTAATTGGAAAAATTTCATGAGAACACTCTGACTTCTTGTGTCAGGGTCGTTAAAAATATTAAAAACCCTGGATACCAGGATATATAGAGGAATGTTTTTAATCATAACCCTGACCTTGATGTCTCCCAGTTTTGCACGTTATTGATGCTGTCCTTTGGCCAGCTGTGTTCCACTTTAGGACTTTCACACTAACTCCCATCTTCTGCATGATAAGTAATAATTTCTCATGTGGAGCCATGTGATATCCTTTGTCCAGAAAACAGGCTTTCAAGAAAATGTCAGGTTTTGCTTGGCTGATCTATTTTTATGAAATAAGTGTTGCTGGGCTTTTTTCTAGTCATGTTTTCTTCCATATCTTTATTCTTTGCTGTTGCATATTTAAATATTCTGATTGATGGGGTTATAATTTTTCACATCTTTTTCTGCCTCAGATGGGCCTTGCGTTTGTTATTTTTCAGCAGATGGTACTAACCTTGTTTTCATAACACAAGTTTTAGTTATGTATAGATCCAGCAAGAAAAATTACATTCGTTTAGAACCAGGGCTGAGTATGATTCAGCCTTCCTGTGGCTCCTTCTTCCAGTCCTAGTGCATATTGGGTAAATTCTGTTTCCATCATTTTGTTCTTCAAGTTGTTTTGATGCTCCTGTATTAAGTAGCATTAAAACCAAGGCAAAATTTACAGTTATGTTTGGGACATAGATTTGTTAGTTTTCACATTTTGGTTGATTTATACTATGTCCACTTGTTTTCTCCTTGTTCACTTTATTTGTGAGTAAAGGCTTGTCCAAATTTCTGATTCTTTTTCCTGTTTGTTTTTTGTTTGTTTGTTTGTTTGTTTCTTTGTTTTTTACAATGCTCTGCGTATTTCTTAACCCTCTTTGCAACCAGTCCAGTTGTGTCAGAAGTTCTGTCCTCTTTGGTTTTCCCATGCTTTAGGATACAGATGGGTTTTGCTCCTTTTGACTTAATGAAATTCCAAGATCTTTTCTGATCTGATTCCACCAGGTCTTTGGTTTATCTCACTGCTAATTTTCTCCATTTCTGAAAGGCTGCTCTTCTAAAATAGAAAACCTTAGTTAAAGACCTTATTTGGTTTATCCTGCCATTAATTGAAATTGAATAATTCATGATTGCTCAGACTGAGATTTCATTGTTACTTGTTTTTTTGAGACTAATTTTGGTGCCTACCTCTGCTGCTGGCATTTCGATTGTTCATGCAGCAACAGAATAAAATTCACATTATTCTTCACGTCATTGCTACATGGAGAATTCACAAATGCGGCAGGGAAGGTAGGTAAAGCTTTAAGCACTAGGATGAATTAATAGCATTGTGGATTACTGCCAGGTAAGGAGACTAAAATGGCTTCTCTTCTCATTGGGAAGATTATTTTTGCAACTCTTAAGTCCAAAATGCTGTTCTGTCTGGAAGCTTGCACACAACAGAAGTTAATACTGTCTGTTGCCCTTCATAGGGAACTCTACTTGCTTTGATGGTAACGGACAATTAAAGGGATTTTTCAAGGCCTGCCTTTTTCATTGGTTCCATATGCAGCTACAGTTTCAGCACTGCATGCAAGAAACAAATGCCATAGGGGTTGTGGATCAGTAGAATTCTATTCCTTGCCATGAGATGAACTGAGTGATTTCTTTATGACTATTTGTGATGTCCCACCAATAGGGCTGGTACATATTTTCCATCCTTCTGGGAACTGGAGCAGAGAAGTCCAGGGTAACACTGTCCAAGACATTTATAGTACTCCTGTTTGGTTATAAGATCAGTTAATTGCAGCATTGATATCCCTCTTCCTTAGCTGATCAACAGATATTACTATTGCAGTTTTTAAAATGGGCTCTCATCCTGCCTGAACAGTTTGCAGTCAGATAGGAGCTTCAGTTTGTCTCCTATGTGTTATACAGCTCCATGCATTGTATATTACAAAACAGATTTAATGAACTGCAGATATACATGTGTCACTAATTTTTGGAGCTGGTTTAATGTTACAGGAACATGTAGATTTGGTGTTCCAGCCCTGGCAATGAATTGTGCAGTTTATCTCAAGGGTAATAGAAGCACAAATTTCCACGTGTACTATCTTGCCCCACACCTTATTTGTAAGACTTTCTTTTCTTTTACAGGATAGCCAGAATAAATGGCACCAGTTGTTTGCAGTTTTGGCCTCAGATGTCTTCAAACATCTCACTTTTTGTCTCAATAAATAGGCAGTTATTGGTTGCCTTCTCTAAGGTGAAAGGCACAAAACCCCAGCCAAAACTGATTGTAAATTCTACAAGAATGTTATGAAGAAAAGCGAGAACTAAGCTAATATGACTTGTAGTATGTAGTTTGGGGGATCTTGCCTTGTATGCATGAAATCTGTCTCTTTCACTCCTATTCACACTTGGAACTGCATGAGTGTCATACAAGCTGTTTAATGCTTGACAGTCTGTTTCAATTGGGATATCTACTATTCTGGCACTTTTCTTGCAGAGTTGAAGCCCTCATTTACATGGAGAGGAAATCCTTTTTTTTTTCCTTCTCGGATATTTATGAATAGAAGCACTATTTTTTTTTTTAGCTTATACTGTATCTATCTATAATAATCTATCATGCATTGGTTTCTGTTATTTCTTTTACCCGAGGCTGTTTTTCTGCTGGTTTTATATAGTTTTCTTTTAAATACAGTTAGGATTTCTCAAGTAAAACATTCATTTGGGAGTAGGAGACTGTAACCAAAGCACTTATTTTAATTCCTGTCACTCTTCTCCTTTGTCTTTCTACCTGGCAATTGAAAGTCTGAACACCTTCTCCAGCAACCTTATGTTGGAAGAGACAACCTCATATTTATTATACTGCGATAAAAAGTGAGCACTAGAACTGAAGTGAAAGGTGACAATTCTCTGGCAGGGTAATAGAATAAAACCACGTGGCTTGGAGAAAATAGCAAATAGTTTTGCAATGAGTTGTGTACATCCTTGCAGTGAAAACATAAGTAAGAAAGTCTGCTGTTCGTCAGAGCTTTAAAAACATACCAAAGTCTTCTTGCTTAAAGACTAAGAATTGTCCAGAGAAAGTTGAGAGATTAGTGGCAGTATCTGGCAGCCTAATGAGGAGCCTTCCCTGCCTTGAATGCCTTTCAGGTGCCAGACTTCTCGGATAACTGTTGTGTGTCTGATAGTAACAGAACAACAGTTGCTTTCTCTCATTTATGTATTAGAAGGCAAAGTTAATATAATATTTGCAAATAAACTTGCCCTTTTTGATGGCTGGACAGAGGATGGATATCTAAATATGTACATTTACCAGCTTCATTCTCGCTTTGGCTACGCTAAAATTTGGACCTGTTTTTGTGTCTTGGCATCATGTAGACTTCATTCTACGTGACTCTTCATACAGAACCTGCTTTGACCATTGATGATTAATTCTTATATAGTTAGTGCATGCCTTTAACTGTATTAACCTGGGATTGGGATGCCAGGTTTCCATTTTGGTTGAAGACAATGGAGTATGTTTACTTACAGTAAGAAGAATTTGGTCCTGATTATATTAAAATGCTGACTGTTTTTCCTGGTCAGTCTGTACAAACAGAATTGCTTTAGAAAATAAATTTTTTCACTGTTGTACGTTATAATCTGACTCTCAGAAATCAACCATTTCAGCCTTGCCCATTTAATTTTTATCTTGAAAGCAACTGTTACTTCTATAACTAAAATTCAGTTTGTTTAATGAGTGTGTTACTCTTACAGATAACTTGCCCTGGAGTGCTGCTGAAAGACAAAGAGGAACTTTATCTCAGTGTCTCTGTACTTGGGCAGTACAAAAAAACTAAATGTGTCCCTGCAACGTTTCCGCTCTTCTTTCAAGAAAAACTAGTATTTGAAAAGGTAAGATAATGTCAAGAGCTAATACGAGCCAAATAAAACCCATCCCAAACTCCACAAAAACTCACTGCAAAGCCACTGAGCACAAGTAATCACACTGAGGATGGTATAGTAACTCCTGATTCTCTTCAGCACAAAGGAGGTGTGTGCCTATATTATCCACAGAGTGACTCAATAATTATATGTACTAAAGATTATAATGTATGATGAGACTTTATAGGTGTTTGTTCACTCTTTTGTGGACTGTCCTTTTTCAGTGTCTATTTTCCTGGCTTGGAAGGAACTGAATGTTGTTGTAAAAATTATGGCAAGGTGAAGAACAAAGACTAGATGATATAGGAGAGTCAGCTTAATTTAGTAGAAAGATAGAATAGCAGCTCAAGCCTTTTTGGTGACATCTTTCTCCCTTTGAGATACTTTTGTAGTGGTTTGTCATCAGAATTCCCAGGTTGGCACTCTGGCCTTATAATTTATAGTTGTTTATCACATATTCTGAGTGCCTACTAGCTTCATTATTAGTACCGCAGGGATAATGAAACACAGTATCTTACAGATATGATCTGGCTTCCTGACTACCTATGAATAATAACACTTTGCCCTTTTTAGTTCTTTTCCTTTAAGCATCCCCCAGCACTTTGAAAATCAGACTGAGTAAACATCAGTGATGCTTTGGTGATGTGGGTAAGATTGAAACAGTCTAATTTCACCAGCTACTGAAGAGTAAAAAAGACCATAATTCTTTAGAGGCAAACCTACCACAAACTACTTAAGGGAAATTTACTGTTTTCATTGTCATTTAGGGGAACTCCAAGACACCAGAATCTAACTGGTTACAGAAGAGGTGAATAAGAAAGCTGAGAATAATACCTGTCTTCTTACAAATATCTATTGAATAGGTCTAGATACTTGTGGAGCACCAGTACTTGATTTTTAGTGTTTAGTACCTTGAACAGCAGAGTGATCTATACCACTGCTGAGACTTGTAGAGAATTAGCCGGAAGTCTGTTACCTGCTGAGTATCTAGTGCAACATCCTCCCCTATTCTTTGCCATTTATTTACATGGGATTCAGTACTCTGAGCGGTACTCTGTATATGAATAGACGCTTCCATAAAAATTAAGCTTAAAGCATTATTAATATATTGAAGAACACATTCTTCATCTATCAGAATTCTAGTAATTCAGGAATTTATCTTTCTCTCTTGAAGTTTTCTCAGACGATACTTATTTCTGTGTTCAACTCTTCACAATACCTCCTAATTTAAATATGGAGAGGTAACCTCAGTGGCTAGAAAGCGGATGACAAGAACTGCTAGCTTTCAATGAATTTGATCACGTGCCAAATGATAATTTCAATTTCCTTTCTTTTTCCAGTGGGGACCAGGACTCTTGGCAACCATCTGAATCACGGAAGAATTTTTATTTTTTTTCCCTTCTCTTTCTCCAGAGGTCCATCTGATGACTTTGACTGTGGCATTATAATTATTTATTAATTTATTTTTCAGGCATTTGCTGATATAGTTGATCCTGGAGACCTTGTGGAGTTACTGGAACGTAGGTTCTGCTTTTTATGTATAACATGTTGTATGCATTAATGTCATGCATGTATGGGCTCTAAAGCCTTTTTGGAGGTTTAAAGTATGTGATAACTGTTCTGTCAGGAGTCTGTTCTCTGGAAAGCTAGTGGGTAACCAGTGTAGTATATCATGTACTAAATAAGTAGGACCCTAACACTGGTGGGTTTTCAGAACAGAAGATTCATTGTCAGTGCAGGCAGAGGTTTTTTGCTGTCTTTGCTTACTAGTTATCTAACAGAATGCCTCTAGAAATGTATGCTAAATGCTTTAGAACAAGAAAAAGGTAAAAAGTCATAATTTATGGAAAATCCAGCTAGTTATCCAGATAGGTAATAGATTCCTTTATCGAATCATTTATTTGATTATTTTAATTTTCAATAATATAAGCATAAACCTTTGATTTTTATAAAACTAATATTTTAATTTTTTAAGTAACTGTTACATTTTACTATATGTGGAGCATAATAAATTGTAGTGAGACATCACTGACCCTGAACTCAAACTCCAGGAATATGCTCCCTCGTACTTGGATTTATCTGAAAAAGTGGTGAAGCTTGCATCATCTTCTTTAAAAGAAGGACAAACTTGGCAGCAGATAGAACTTACCAAGTTCAGTGTCAAATTTAGAGTTGTCATTTGTACACTGCTAATGCCATTGTGTTCATCTGTGGTATTTATGCAAGGTGTGCTTAATTTTCTCTTATCGTTGGTATAGTGGAAATAGTGCAGCTATGTACAGTGTTATGAAGCTTAAATCAGTGAGCCATTTTTCTTGGGTTTTGACTATGGGAATTACTTTCCATTTTAGTTTCTCTTTTAACTCATGAAAAAACTTTTTCCCCTTCTAGTTGACACAGCAGTACTTGAACTAATACAGCTCGTTCCTCCAGGTATTGTATCAGTCTCTTCATAAATTATGCAGTTTAATAGGTGAATTTCCATGAGGACATTGCCCATTACAGCACAATCACTTTTTCTAACACACAAACAACATAGAAAGCTTTTCAACAAGTAATCCTCTGAATATAAAATGTCAATAGATCAAGAGGATCTCATTCTTGAAAGAGAATAATAGCTGAATATTGAAATGTACCCTACTCAGGCTTAGGAAAGTGATAATATTTTAAAAATGGAAAATAAACTGAAATCATCCAGTGCACACTTATTAACTGCATCACAATTCACTTGCAAAGTGGCTGTCTGTGAAATTTCAAAGTGCATAATCTTGTTCTCAGAATGACACTTTTTTTTCCTTCCATTTTAATGGTGACCACTGGGAAAACTCTTATCCTCACTAAGTATTACAGGTCTCTTGGGATATGTGAAGATAATAAATAACGATTTGTCATACTTCTGTTATTGGTTTGTGTGATTATAAAAATCTATTTTAATGAAATTCAAGTGTTCCCATGAATAATGTAAATCTGCATTTTATTGGAAATAAAGTCAAGTTTTAAAGAGGACTCGTTTGGAAACTGTGGTATTAAAAGCACTCTGTCACTTGTCCTTAGTACTTTCAAGGAAACGATTGCTTCTCTCAGGTGACTCACCAGACTGTTTACTTGAGGAAATATACTGAATGTGGGGTTTTTTTGTAGGAGGGTAAAAGGCCTTGCATAAGGAATTTAAATTCAGGGGTCACAGACTGTGATACAATTGTGATACAGACCAATGTAAGCCCAACATAAGATGACTGCAATAGCACAATTTAATTTTTTTATAATATACATTCAAGGTTTTCCCCTAAAGTAGCGAACCAGGGTAGTGAGAAAATCTTGAGATAATGATTTTGATGTTGCTTGCATTTCTTTCTTTCTACTATGGCTACTATTACTACTACTATTCTGTAATATGAAATGATACAGTTTTTCATAAGGGATTGTCTGCCATTAAAAAAAAAATACTGGTTTCTTCTGTAGCGTGGAAGGGAAAGAAAGAGGAAAACTGCTGAAGAATTGCCTAGAGAAAACTCCTTATGTCTCTTATAGAACATGAGTTAACTCAGTCTCCTTTATTTTTTTTACAGCAACAGTGAAACATATTTTCAGAGTAGATTCTGCACATTTCTGCTGCTGATTTAACTTGATGAGGTTATTTCCTAGTGTGTTACAAGTTTTAGAGCCATGCTCTTAATTTGTAAAGAATAAAATTTATCTTAGTTTCAATATGGTCTTTTGTGTGGCATCTGTACTATATGACTTTGTCTATTTTCCAATTAAAGTTTGTATTTTCCTTTTAGCAGGAAAAATTCTAGCTACGTATGAAGAAAATACAAGAGATTTCCTGTTCCCTGACCCTAAGCTTACCTGTGGGCACCATGGTTTAGAGCGTGAGATTTTAATGAAGAGGTCCTCTTCTTTTACCGTGAGTGAATATCTCTGGATTGTATTTATGATACAGTGTGTTTCACTGAAGAAACCCCTTGAACTACTTCAAATGAAAAGTGATTACTTCTGACAGATTTTGCCATTTCAGGTGTTGAATGTACAAATCCACAGTTGAACTTTGGTGAAGGTATAATCTTTTTTTCAAAATGCTTCAAGAAATTATTTAATGTGAAAAAGTTAGTTTCCACTTGGTTTGCAGTGTGTCACCATGACATGTCTTCCATTCAGTTTAATCTGTGGTGCAGTTGGTAGTTGAAGGGATGCAAGACAAGAAGGAGATGTCATAGCAACTTCACAGCTTTCAACAGATAAACCATGTAACCGTCCTCGGTTTCTCTTCATAGCATTTGGTTTAGACCATTTTTGGTACTGTTTAGGACAATGACAGTCAGTACAAACTTACAGTGCTATGACATCTCACCTATGGGCCTCCCTGAGGTGCAGGCTCACCACTAAAATAGTAAGTAACTGAAATTTAGCTTAGTGCTGCATGATTGTTTCTCAGTTCCAGAGCCTGTTTCTTAAGGTCTGTTCAGGCCATTCGTGCTCATTTAGTAACTTGCATTTTCCACAGTTTCAAAAAAGGTATGATAAATGACAACTAATTGGCAGAATGAGTGCAATGAATTAATGTTAATTTTCTAGAGATAAGGGCTTGAGTACATAGTAAATGAAAATTAATTTATCTCATACTGCCCTTTCATAGAGTTTGACTGTTGAATCTTAAGTATCAGTGCAATAACTCAGGAGGGCACTTTGCAGATGATGGTGATGTCAGAGATGTGTTTTGGGGTTTGTTTTGTTTGTCTTTTTTTAGTAAAGTTTACTAGTGGATTGGCAGAATATCTAGATTGGGAAGATAGGGACTCAGTTGTGCTGTCTGTTGTGATTGAATTAAAAACACTAGCAGGAGGGAAATACTGATTAAAGGTCATTGGTACCTTTTAGCTGGCATAATCTTTCACCTGCAAGGGCAACCTGGAAATTGCCCAGTCACTTTCAATTAAAAGTGCTAATTTGGTGTCTAATTCTGTGTTACATTTGAATTAATTGAAGCTGTGGTTTTCTGATACAAAATATATGGTTCTGCAGCAGCTTAAACTGTCCCTTTAAAACCAGTCAATTTTTGGCCATAGCATCTCTTTGATAGGGCTTCTCCTCTGCATGTTAGTGATGGCTTAAGAGAGGGGGTGGGACTGTATTGCTTTCATATTACTTACAGAATTGGTACTTGCTCTGGTATTTAGAAAGTATAGATAGGGAGGTAGTAATAAATGAGGTGGTATTAGCAAAATGTTTTCAGATTTTTTGTAAATGCAATATAATGAATCTTTGTAGAAGCAGAGCCACTAGAGTAGCTTGAGTTTTCTGTTGTACTGAGTTCTTTAACACAAAAATTATGTATTTTCTAATAAAGAGAAGGTGCCATAATTTTTGAGGTGTGAGAAGATGCAATCAGAGTCATTTAGATGTGTAGCTGCATGATGACACTGAAGTAGCTTTTAAAAGTTGACTGATGTAAGACAGAAACGTACTTCCGTGTCCTTGGGAGCAGTGTAATTGAAATCCATCTCTCCCCTGGAATGAGGACTGCAGAAGCATCTGTTGATCTGTTCCATCTCCATGGCAGAAATAATAGTTTAAGAAAGGATTTTTCTATACTGACCCCATTTTCAGGAATAATAAATAAGCTGTGTTTGATGGAATTGGAAGGAGGCTCCCGAAAAGAACTTGTGGTTCCTCTCCTTGCTTGCCAAATAGCTGTGAGAGGATTTTTACCTCCAGTGGAAATGCATTCTCAACTGCTTCCATTTTCTAGTGTTCCCTGAGCTTTACTGGCAAGTATCTCCTGCTAACTCTGTCAGCAGCAAGCACTGAATGTGAATGCTAAGCAAAAGGGAAAGTGTTAAACAAGGTCGTGAGAACCCTCACATTATTCTTATGCTAGTCAAGCCATGTTCTTCCCACATGAAAATTTATTTATAGCTAGCTGAGATTTTGAGTATTTTTGACTGACAGCTGTGCTTCAGTGGCATTTTGATTCCCAATAAATTTGTCCTTTATTAAAAAAATAAAGGTAGCAACAGCAAGGTTATGGTTGTGGAGTTCAGATAGGCTGTGACAAGCAGTGTCTGATTAACACTGCTAATCTGCCAGTTGGAAGGAATCCCAAGTTGAGAGGATCAGAACTCCTCCAGAAATCTGGCACTTGGCTGATAATGTCTCTGGCTAAATGTCTTACGAGGCTTACAAACACAATACACATACAAAACATGCCTCAAGTTATCTCTCCTGGTCCAGTGTTGCCCAGCAGAGGCTTTTGCTGGCTCTTCTGTATTTCTCTGCAACTCTTGCCTTTCAGAATACTTTTAAGCCTTGACTGATTGTGACTTCTTACAGACATTCTTATCTCCATTTCCCACCCTCATGCAGTATTTGCCATGTTACTTAAAACAGTTTATTTTTAGTTACACTTCCATTAGCATACCAATACAAGACCTTCTGTTATATTCATATATAGATTTTTTAGGCTACGGACTTGTACTCATGCTCCTTACAGTCAAAAGCACCTATTAGACTTGTTTTCCAATTCATGTTCTTCTAAATATGAACCACCTTTATAGTTTTTCTATGATCAAATGAATACTATGTCCATATGATTTTTGTTTAATGACTGGTACAGAAAGACTAACAAGACTGCTCAGGGCTTCAGACACCACTAAGCTGGAGGCAGAAGAATAGATCCCCAGAACTTTCTGGCTGGATTTTCATTTACAGACATGTTCAGGGTTAGGTGCCAGTCTTTACTGATGCTATATTGAATATCCTTCAGCAATCCCTAGTTTGAGAACTGCAGAAAACAGAACTCTTCTGATTGCTTTTGGCCTATAGGTTACTTGTGACATATCCAGGCATATGTATGCAAATGTCATCCTTTATTCCCTCTCCACAAACCATTTCTTTGAATAAACCATGGCTTTCTCTGATTTTTTAGCTATGAGCATTTAACAGTTCTGTAATCATTCTCACTCTCTGTAAGAGCAGTAGGTGCTCTGTTGTTGCTTTTTATAGAAGACTTACTAATTCTGATGTGTCCTTTTTTAAATTGTTGATAGCACTTGACAATTCATTAGTAATAAAAATGAGTTGATTAAAGACAGTCAGCTTTAAAATCTCTTTTATATGCCATAACTTGACTTGATTGAATCCTGGACTCTGTTAATTGCTATGACTGAGCTTTCTTGGCATTTCTGTCATTTCATTTCCATAATCTAACCTGGGCCCAGATCATATTCCCTTATGGGAAATCAGTGTGTGTTTAGGCAGGTGGTAGAGAATAGTTTGGTTCAGCAGCAGACTTCATTCATGAAGTTCCTGCTAATTCTTAAGAACGTAGGGCAGAGTTGCAAACAGACCAGCTCCTTTTTGTTTCTCAGTGATTTTGTGTGTTCATGTGCAGAAATGCCCATGCACACAGATGCCTCCGGGCAGCAAACTCTGTCCATGTTGAAAGAAAAGAAGGTAGAAAGTTCTAGGAACGCTTGATTTTCTCTTTGCTTCTGCAGAGCTGTATGAGATGCACATAGATTATTCCCACTTGTTTATAGCATATGTGGCCTTTAGTTCTTTTATGCCTTTTTAAATGTTGCTGTTTTGGGAAATAACACTTGTGTGTCATAATCTCTGCCATTTACACCCACTAAATTTTGTATACATTGGCCAATTCTAGCTAAATTTAACAGGAAATAGAGCTCTCAGAGGAATTTGTTTCTAGATGGCTGCAGTAAAAGATGAGTTGAACAGAAACTGTTATCCATGTAAAGATGGAGGGACCTGCTGGACGTCAATACATGTGTGCTGGTTGACCGGGAGGCCCAGCTGAATCCCACTGATTCCAAATTGATCAAACTAGGGCTGCCTCTTGTCAGCCACGTGCATAAGAGGGGATTGAGAGGAAGTGGAACATGGTTATAGATCATGGGAGACAGCCCACAGAAATCAGACCTTGCTCTAATGGTTACAGAATAAAGGGTATTCCTACTTATACTATTAACAAATGAATAGTTATTTGCAGTGTAACTGTCTAATTTTCAAAATGTTTTTACAAAAAAGATTGCACAATTGAGCCTATTTATAAATAAGTTTCCAAAGTTAGTGTTAATGAAACTTTGAGAGCATGACTGGAATTTTTATTGATGCTATATAGCATGGCATGAAAAATCTTTAAAAGTGCTTTTGACAAAGAAATGTATTGAAATAAAAGGCAGACCTTAATTGTTGTACAAAAGCAATATAATCATCTGTAATTGAATTGTCAGAAATGCAAATGTTAGCATCTTGACATTTACCATTGCTGTTCTGTCTTTTCTAATTATCTTTATTAAAGGCTGAAATTAACAAAGGAAATGGCTGAAAATTAGGAATGGTTTGTTACATTAGGTGACATTTACTTCTTTGATACCCTTTATCTTGTGTTGGAGCTTGATGTTCAATTATTGTCTCTCTTCTAGGGAATTGCACCAAAATTGAGATTTTCTACAAGCTCCCTTATTACAGAAAGTCTGTTAAGCTCAGGAAGGAGTCACATACAGGTTAGCATAATTTAATTGTTTGCAATTTAATTTCTAGATTTAATATTGATAGCCTTGGTTCCAATTTTTGCATGTGCTGCTCACTTCAAACTTTTCTCATTCTTTTGTTGTGGTTAAAGCAGTTATCATGGGTGCTTGACAACTTGATTAAATTTTTAATCAAGTATGAGTAAAGAGTGGGTTTGGTGCATGACAGTAAATGCTGAGAGTTCCTTGAATCTGAAACAATTATCAGCTGCTGTGTTCTGTGATCAGCTGAAGTGTCAATCCCTGGTGTATTTGTAGGTGGGAAGATGCCTTCTCACCATTTCTTACTGACACTTAAAATTAAGGACAGTGAAAGCTAGGTGAAGTCAGAGAAGGTAGATTATCAAAACCAAACCAATTAATTTAATTGTTTTCCATAACAATATCAGTAACAGTAATGGAAATTAAGATTTTTGTTGAAAAGGCTGTCACCAGTATTAATCTGGAAATGCTGCTTCTGCAATGAGCAAAGTTAAAGGTGAAGTAGCTGAAGAGAGTGTGGAAAAAAAAAACCTCTCTGATGTGTTTGTTCATTTGGTAGCACTCTTCTCTGGTCTTACTGGAGATTTGGTTGGGTTCCCTGGCATAAGCTGTCACATAAAGTTACTCTTAAAACCTTCTTTTTTGCTATATTATTGAAAAATTGTGCAGCGTCATTAAAATGGACTGGTTGTCAGGAAGGTTTGCGTGCAAAGAGGGTTAGGTGACTGACCTGTCTGTGGCATTGCTAATTAGTTCACTGAGAAGTTTCTTTCAAATTTAGCAAATGAAATGTATTGAGATGCTTAGATAAAGACTAAAAAAAAAAAAAAAATCAGTGAAAATTGTCATTGTCAGAACACTAATTTCACTGAAGGTGACTTCAATAAGGGCAGTTTGATTTAAAATTTAAAATGTCCTTAAAAGTATTTAATATGTTATGAATAGCATATCAAATTTGCAGGCATTGCAGTGAAGGTCTAGTTTCATGATTGGTGTAAGTCAGAAGAAGCACAGCCTGCTTCTGGTGAAATTGAAATTAATCTTGGAGAATAGGTCTGGGTTTGTTTGGGCCAGTTCCATATTCTGTTTCACTACCAGTTGCACAAGTGCTAGTACAGGCATGAGAAAGACAGCGTCACAAATAGTCTGTGTGATGCCAGATTCAAATCTGTGGTGATGCAAAACAAACACACAACCTCAGCCACATTCATTGTTGGGTGTAGAGGAAAAGGCTTGAAGGCAAGATGGACATTTTGTTCCTGGGTACTTCTGAACTGAATTAGTGCATGCAACATTCAGATTTAAGACTAATGTCAACTTCCTCAAGCTTGAAAAATAATTTCAAACAGGAAGAAAAGTCTTGCCATACCATCATTTTTTATCTTTTATAACCTGTGTATTTGGGTCAAATTTGACCAAAAAGCCTAATTAACCATACTGCAGTATTCAAAGTTCAAACATTCTGCCAATGAAGTAGCCTGATAAGAGTTGGATAATCTAGAGTGCCTTGACCTATAAAGCTTGCGGAGTAATTGAATGTTCATTTAATGCCAGGAATTACAAAGGAATGATAATGTATTTCAAACAAAACTTCAGTGTTAGAAAGGGTTTCCCACAATTTGAAACTGATTACTGAAGAAGTTAGTAGTTACTTGGAGGGAGTGTCAATCCTGACTGTTAGGTAGGCTTTGCTGGTAACAACAACAAAAACTACAACAGCACAGTTCCCATCCTGTGTTGTGGGAAGGGAGGTGGTAAGGTTGGTGGTTGTTCTACTTCCCTTTATTCTGCTTCTCACAGGGGGCCGCCCCTGTAGCCCCCTCCCCTGCCACCAAATAAACTCCACCACTCACTCAACCCAGGACATATATGTATGTATTTTAAAAGCAGTATCAACTCAGAGATAGACTTTTAAGCCAACATTTGATAATGGTGGAATTTTTATATATTTTAGCTACAAAATCCACATTTTGAATGTCAAGTGCCCGCTGCACAAATAAACAGGGGCTTTGCTGCTTCTTTTGCAAAAATATTCAGATGATTTGAGACGGTCTTTGGAAGATGGTCTTGAAAGTTTTGTGGGGCTTTTTTTGAGAGGGGTGGAGGGGGGTGGAGGGATTTTTACTAAATGTAGCTTCTTGATTATAACTCTTTAAAGGACTAGTATGTTCACCATGATCCAAGAAAATACAAATTTCAGAGAATGTAATTACACTTCTTGTGAGGCTTTAAGCAAGAATAAATGCATATAATTTAAACTATTAAATAGGCTTCTATTTTATGTATTTTATTTTAAAGGGTAAGAATTTTAAAACATTAAAAAAAAGCATAAATAGATGAAAAAATGCTTCAAATCTATCTGTGTCCAATCCAGGTAAAGTTTGTGTTAAATGAACTTGTGACAAAATTCAATTTAATTTTTTACAGTCTGTGTACACTAACTGTGTGAGAAAGCTGATTGGGTAAGTATCGGGCACTTAACCTTAACATCAAACATGTAGTAGTGTGTGTTTTAACCTCCTTCTGGTTTCAGAGAAAATGGTAAATACATTGTTGGTTTTTAAATTGCTGTTTGATTATAGTTTTGTGAGGGGAGCTTCAGTTGACATGGCATCTACTTCTGTTGAAATTATTAGTTCCCTGTTTGCATTATTTTCAGTGATCTTTGTTCTGCATGCTGTCAAAACAGATAATTTATTTTTTTCACTTTAGGGTGATTTGAATTGGGTGCATCACTCAGCCTCAAATGGAAAAGTGCAAACAGAGTTACCAAAGAAAAATATTCTTTCACCTGAGAAAAGCAGGCACAGTTTAGCAGGAAAGAACTACGAGCAGCCTACAATAGCTTCTAAATCACGTTCTCCATCTCCATACACAAAGAGACGAATGTGTGAGCTGTCAAAAGAAGCCAGGCAACGACTGGCCCATTTAAACCTTGGTCCTTACGAATTCAGAAGAGGAACTGATAAACCTCCATTTGTAGTTAGACGGGTTTGTATTCTCTCCAAAGTGCTTCCAGCTTAAGCTCAGATCAAATATTGTTCTTTCACTAAATACTGCTCCAAAAACTCATTCAGCTCTTAGTTTAGATAAGTAATTTTTCTCTCCTTAACAGTCTGTCACATAGTGCTTTAAATGTAAAATTAACTAAAATAAAATTTCTTTTATCTGCGTTAGTAACAGACAAAGATCAAATTCTTTCATGAATGTCTTGGTTAAATTCTCTGAGGCCCCATTTCTTTTCTTCCAGCGCACTAGACAGGATAATAGGTGTATAAATTCAGCCTGGAAGTAATTGATATTAGTATTAAAAATTCCTGAATAAGACTTCAAAGAAAGAGTGTCTAGTCACATTATGAACACTTACACTTCCTCTCTTTCAACTTTTTTTATGTTGGCATCCTATGATCTTTGAAACGCTTCCTTTGCTCAGAGCTACATCTCTAACACTTTGACTTAGAGTTCATAACCAACCTGACTTTAGCACACGCATAAGGACTTTTTGCTAACTGTACATGAAAAATTGTTCTGAAAATAGGTACTTATTTAAAGAAGCTATGTTTAAGTGCTTTAATACAAGGGGGCCAGATTTCCCAGCCTCTTGGAGGATCATATTGTCATTTTTTTTTTCCCCTCTTAATTTTTCTTATGATTGTAACAATTCTTTTTTTTTAGAAAACCACTTTGAATGTGTAGGGGCAAAAATGGGATTGTTCTGATTCTGTGCTATGACATTAGGATTTGTCTACAATTCTGGACACTTGTCACAGTCCTTGAGACAATTTCGTGTTTAATTAGTTTGCTTCTCACTTTATTTTATTTTTTCTAGTTTATGTACAAGTGAGTTAATAATATCTTAACAAATTTTAGAATTATTTTCTAAGTTTTACTCTACACATAGGTACCTTTTAGAAATTCAGATTAGCCTTAATAAGCCATTAATCATTCATCAACCTACTGTTTATCTCTCTCTCAGATATTTTTCTTTTAACTCCTTTTAATCAATTCTTCTGGTTTTTGATCTATAGGTGAAGTTCACAGTTTAATTATAGCATCTTTAAACACTGATTATTGATTTAGATTGCTTGGTTATGTTTGTACAAAAAAGGAAGAAGCTTGTCTATTAATATACCATATCTGGACTGTTGTGGCCTTTCTAGACGGCGTGTTCCTTTTAGGGTGTCTTTACTGCTGAGGACTCTTTTGGCCTGGAAATTTTGTCTTATATGAAGATTAAAATTAGATTGTTAAATGTAACTTTCTTAATTAGAAAGAGATTTGGATCTCTCTTGGTGAGGTCTGAACTGTTTAGATAAAATATAAGATACCAAGAGTTGTTTAAAAAGACTGCAGATATTATAGATGAAGGAGAAATTATCTGCATTTTTCTTCTTCGAACAAGATGACATTTAGAGTTTCTAGACCCTCCTAGCACTGCTTTTGTTTATGCACAGTAATGCTAATAATACACGTAATATGAGCAAACTATGAAAATATTTTAAAATAGTATTTAGATAAGAATAAAATATTTCAGAAAGGACTAAATGTGATCGTATGAATGAAAACAGAAAAAAATAGGAATTGATACGTCTGCTGCTGAGCATTTTAACAGTATTTTTGCTTCAGGTTGAACTACCAAGTCCTGTTATTAAACTTCATATGTGGTGTCCCATGCGAGAAAGCACAGCGGAAGCCTGGACAAAGGTAGACCATGGTTAGTATTTTCTACTATAAATCTCATTAATGCTTTTGTCTTCTGCAGTAGTTTAGTGAGGTTATTTTGTTTTGGGGTTTTTGTTTTGTGTTTTTTTTTGTTTGTTTTTTGGTTTTTTTTTTTTTTAATTTATTATAAAAATAGTCTATAATAGAGAAAAAGCTGTTCTTTCTTCCTAGCAATAGGAAGAATATTGAATATGCTGTAAAAGCTGGTTCTGAATAGTTCTTTACCTCAAGAAATTTGGAACGTAGTTCTATATGATATGGAAGTAGGAGTAGAAAATATCAAAGCCCAGGCGAGTGCGTGTTTCACTCCACTTGTTTTGATGAGTTGGATAGTGGAGCAAATCTGCACTAGTCAGTGGGTGTGTTGATCAGGCTTGGAGTATTGATCATTTTGAAGTTCAAGGGCTCTGTTGCTTCAAAAATGAATAATGTTTAGTTCAGCAGTACTTGTGAGTAGTGGATCAGTGACTTACTATTATTAATGAGCATCCAGGATGTGCTCCAATATCTGGTTTGGTATTCACTGGTATCAGTAAGTGAGGGTGTAATAAAAGGTGTGGGACCAGAAATTTAAGGAGGTACCCTAAAACTTGATTTGATTGCAGGTGTCTGGCAATATGAGGATTTTAATGAGTCTCATTAGTATTTGTTTGTTATGTATGTTCTGCCTCATTTTTATTGTGCCTCCTCACTAATTATAAATTGTTACGTAACAAATAATTTTAAACTTGTTATTTTACATTTGTTCTTTGCAGTAGCACTGGGTGCAGGATTTTAAATGTTTCACTAGATTCCTTTTGGGGTCATATTTACCAATCTGTAGTAGCTGGATAACGTAACAGACCTATTATCATCTGATACCATTGCATACTTATGAAATGAGTTGGTTTCTGGCCAGTGGTTAGGAGACCAAAATCCTCATTATTAATATCCAGAGGATTCACAGGTCACCTGTCTGTTTTGAAGCTTAACTGTAACTTCTGAAAAAAAACAGATTCCTAGTATTAGAAATCTTAATACTGATGGTACAGTTTAGACTTTTTTTGCTTTCGTGCAGGGAGCTGATAGAGGGGTGTCTTTACATTGCAGTACAGAACAAAGGTACCTCTTTGGGCTTGGGTCAGTGTGAGGGTTGTTCAGTACAGACTGATATAACCCCATGAAGAAGGCAAACATAGTTTAATGTCAGTCCCTCAGGGCTGAGGTGCATATTGGCGTTGGTGAAACAGCCTAACCCAGTATGTAGCTAATAGTTTCCCCATGTGTGTTTCCACGGGCTTCACACTCATGTTTGTGGGTCAGTGGTGAGGGAAGGAATGAAGAGATGATAGGGGGAGGGAGAGGTAGTCATAGGAAACCTTGTTCAGAGAAGATTAGTAAGGTAATGTACATGAGAATTTTGGGGAATGGTAGAGCTTGATTTTATATTGATTTAGGCAATTAATAGCTTAACAAAATGTGCCACTTCTGGCTATGAAGGAGATGGTGCGTAAGCTGATTCATTATTATAAACATTATATTCCATTAAATATTAAGTCATTGATTTCAGCTAAAGAAGGTGATTTCATGAAAATATTCTGAGCACACTGTTCAGAATTTTATAATGTATAATAATAAATTGCTTTCGTACTGTTTGGGACAAGCGGTAAGTTGTTTTTGTAAAAGATTTCATAAAATTTAAGACATTCAGAATTTCTTTTGAATTTCTTCTGGGATGCACTTTTTTTCTTTCTCCAGATCCTTCTCTTCTTGGCAGCTACAGACCCAAGAAAGCTGAAGTGAGTACTCTGAAGTGCTATTGTTTAAACATTGTTTTTTGGGAAGCTCTGAGTGAGAAGGATTGTCCTGCCATAAGTATTTTTGCAACTTTATCTAGTGTAGTATCAAAAGCAAGGAAAGGGCATTTTAAATCTGATCTAACCCAGTTTAGAGCTGCTGACAGATTATTTACAAATAGAAAAGTGAAACTTAACACTCTATAAGATATTCATGCCTAGAGGTACAGAACTCGCTTCTCCTTGGCATTAAGGCTTGTGACAAGGCTGTAGAAGTGCCTTTAAAGGCAGTTTGTGTTTGCCTTCCTAGTCATTCTGAGCACATACTCCACTCTGAAATCATACGCAAAGGTAGCACTGGTACAGCTGGCAAGCCACTGTTCTGTTATTTCACATCCTTTCTTTTTTATCTGCTTTCTGTATTAAATGGACCTGAAGAGTAATGTCGGGGTTCTTTTGGGTTTTGCTATTTTACATTTTTTTCATCCCCATTTAGTTGTTTTTGCCTCTGTTCCTGACATACTATAGAATTTGTGGGTTTAGGCATTTAATTATGTATGCCTCTTAGATTTTCTAATGGCTGGGAAAACTTATGATAACAGGGAGGAGGAAAGAAGGGGAATTAATAGGATAAACCTTGATATATGTTAAATGCACTTTTGTCAGATTCTAAACTTTTATTACCAAGGATTGCAGTTTTACATTCCATGTGAGTCCAGTATATTGTGCCACTTCTGGATTGTTCCATGGCTGTAAATGAGAAACGGTAAAGAAAACAGAATCTCTACTAAATATGCTAAATATGTCTTTTTTGTTTGTTTGTTTGTTGTTTGCTTTTTGTTTTGTTTTAGTTTTTTTTTTTTTTTTTTGTAATGATGACTATTTTAAAGTCATATTGTGTCCCCTATCCCTCTGCTCCCCACCCCCCCCATGGGAAAGTAGATTTTGGGAGTAAGCACTGGAGAATACAGATAGCTGAGCTACATGTTAATTTGTGTTCTTGTTGCAGCAATCACTTGTGATTCTCACAAAATCAAGGCTGAAGAGAATGTATCTTTTTCTTGCCAGAAATATAGTATAGCCTTGTTTAAGAGGAGCTGTTTCCCAAAGCTGAGGAAAAACCCATGCAGCCTCGAAAGAGCTAATTAATAACCTGATTATTGTTGGTCTCATTTTGTTCTGGGCTTTGTTTTTTTTTAACTCAGCTTTGGGAAGCAGCTCCTGTAAAAGTCCCCATGCCAGGTAAAAGGGGACATTTTTGTACTATGTTTCAGGCTAAGAGGAACTATGGAAGGAATAACTAGTTCAGTGAAGAGTGAGTAGATGTGTAGATGGCCTGAGTTTTCCTTTGAGAAACAGGAAATCATGAGGGGGGAAAAAAAAAAAAGTCTAAGAACAAGGGGTCCCACACTGAGGAGAAGTCTAAGGTTTGTATTTAGATTCTGAGGCATCATTCCAACTCCGTATATTCCTGTGCAGGGTAAGCCTTTAAACTGTGTAGTCAGAAAAGGTGATAAAAGGGATGTTACAGCAGACTTTGTTATAAGATGGTGTGTTAGATTCCAAGAGTCATCTGACACCTGGTGATTTAGTTTAGATCAGGGCTGTTTCTGTGAAATGAGGGTCCTTGTTTTTTTCCCAGAAGGCAGATATTCCTGTATGTATGCGTAACCTTTAACATTTTGGTTTCAAAAATAAAACCGTCAAAACTGTACATCTTGATATTCATAATCAAGGTTTGGTGGGTTTTTTTACAGGCAAAATCTACTCATGGAAAATACTTTCACAGTTCTGATGTTTGCAATGAGGATGTGATCTCAGATCCACCCAACAGACCGTCCCATTCTGCTGGTTCATCAGAGCATTCAGCACCTCCAGCATTTCAGAAGCATTCTCTCAGTTCCGTGTTAAATCGATCTTCTCTAAAGGAAAGGTAGCGGCTTGGTTTTGTTTGTGAAATTCTGGATTTATTAATATAAGCAGATAATAAGAGTACTTACATGACTATAGTTTGCATGTTTGGAGGTGCTCAGGCTGAAGAGACTGAAAAATCTTTTCCCAACCACTATGTTGTCATTTGACTTTTCGTCAGGTGCTGCGATTGCCATCACCTCTCTGCTTAATGCATACAATCCTAATAATATGGCAATGAAAAGGTTCTGTTGCTAACCTTCTCTGAAACGATGAAGGCCCAGATTTTAGGCTGCCAATTACCATCTAAAATAGAGAATACTTAAATAATCACTGTTTTAGAGGCGATTAGAATCTCAGGAAGGTAAATATAGATACACATCAAGTTGGCTTCACTGGGGAGATACTTGGAAATCTTTTTCCTTCTGATTAGTGTTTGCAAGCACCTACCTGTGGCTGTGCTGTAGTCAGATGTGTGACTAGCATGCCTAACATGCTTGGGCTAGCTTTAATCTAATTCATGTATTATTTTCCAATCTCTGTGCTTTACTGACATCCTAAGATTTTGGTTTGTTTGAGTTGAAGCGTGGGCCTCTGCAGCAATTGTGTGTATAATAATTACTTTATATAAATTAGTTTTCTTAGTAGTCTTCACTAACTCCAATGGAATTGGGGTGGAGACAGTTTCTAATATCCCTTAGTTCAGTGGATTTCAATCTCTGGGTTAATATTTTGGGCAAACCTCACAGCTTCAGTGTCTCATGAGGGTGGAATGGAAGAAACGTCAAAAGCAACAGATTTTTTTCATGCTTAAGTCCTCCAGTCCTTCAAGGAGAGTATTCCTTACGTCCTGGTGAGTAGAACGTGTACTTAGTGATCAATGCTTCTACTGTACATTCAGTTTAGCAAGTTATTAGATGGCTTTCTGGGAACAGAAAAACTGTGTACAAAGCTAGGCGTGAGTAAGCAAATAAATAAAATAATTGTGAGAAGCTGAGGATCAAGGAGATGTCCTGTCCTAAATGCTGAAGTTTTTACTGAGGCTCTACTTGGAGATGTACTTTGGTTGCTTGTTCACACTTGTGCCAGGCTGTTTCATCCTTGTTACCATTGGTACCTCAGTCAGTGCTTTCAGGGTGCATTTTTATAGCCCTACACACAGCCTAATGCTTTTTTTCAAACAAGAAAAGTTGTCTCAGTTTTTGTCTTTAAAAAGAAAAGTAACAGATGGAAGGTGAGGATTGAATTTTTAATACTCATAAAGATCAAGTAGGTGTTTTAACATCTTCCTCTGCTTGAAAACTTACTTGTTCTGTGTAATAGTGTTTCTTGAGAAATGTTATACAGAGATTAGGATGTATCTGGGGTTTGGAGGAGGTTTCACTGTCATCTTGTCTATTCTCTTGTGACAGAGTTTGTGTGTTAGTTACCCATGTCTGGGGAAGAGATACTCTAATGGTGATTTTTTTACTCTTTTTTTCAGCTAGACTCCTTTTAGGGGGGGGTGGGGGTGTGTGTAAATTTTAAAATGCATTATATTTAAAGCTGACAGGTTCCCTTATATTGATAGCAGGAAAGTCTTTTAAGTTGTGAGCATGCATAGTAATTTAGTTGTCTGCCAGTTAATCTTGAACTTGTCTGAATGTTCTTGGTTTTTTCTCTTTATGAGCCCCTTTCCAGAAGAGATTTGTGATCTTGTGAAATTATGTTTTTTCTTCTTATTAGAACAAATGTTCTCGGCTCTTTAGAGTTGTAACATCTCTTTATGTTAAGGATGTAAACATTTACTTTTGTCATCAGAAAAAACTCAAAATGAGAAGGTAAAGGGCATAGTCTAAAACATTTGATCTCTGTTTCATGCTGCTGAGATAGCAATGGTTTTAGCTGACTCTATACTGAGCATCATACTTGGAATGACAAACATGGATCAGAGGTCAGTGTTTGGAAATGCATGCAAACGTTGCTGTTCAGATCATAGAAATACAGAGAAAATCAGTACTACTGAAAATACATCAGTGCTAGTGTATTTGCAAGAATATAGAGTCTTATCTCACCGTATTTGGTGTTTATTTCCTCAATTTTATTTTGAATTACAAAGACAAAGAGCTTAGAATATCCAGACTATTTTTTTTTAATGCTAGTCAACCCATAGCCAATGTGAAACTTGACTCCCCACCTCGACCTTTAGTTCCTTTTTTTCCCTTTTTTAAAAAAGTACTGTGAAGTGAAAGTCTGCTTTCTTGGAAGTACTTCCCAGAGCCCTGCTGAGTGGATGTTAAGCCACTGCAATACTTTTCAGTGATACAGAAATTGGGGTCTTGCAAAAGGTCCTCTGACCCCCTTTGTATCCTTTCTAGCAGTTTCCAGTCCCTTTCTGTGAGCCTGCTAGAGAGACCATAAATCAACCCTCTCCCCATTTCCACTGGGTTTGAGCCAGCAGCAAAACTGTAAATATATTTACTGCTGAACAAAGCAGCAGTGTTTTGAATAATTATTTTTCATACTTTACTTTTACATTTTTCATTATTTAGGTCACCTAAGGAAAGCATTAGCTGGTGTTGCAAACTGACAGCAGAGTGATGTGACTATCCAACTCCACTTCCTTCCCATTTTGATTCTAGCTCCTGTGCAGAGCAATGGTACATACACACTCTAATTCCTGCCCATGATGTGTGGCCAGCAGTGTGACAGTGCGGTTGTCTTGCCCCCACTGTCTGTTTGGTTGTGCACAGATAAGTATCCTGTATGCTTTGTGAAAGAGCATTAGCACTAAATTCTCTCAGGGCTGCTTCAGGAAATCAAAATTCAAGTCCAGTCCTTGCTTTCATGGTGTATATACATCCCCATGCACTCCTAGAAGATGGTGTTTTTCTTGGGGACTTATAAGCTAAGCCTTCCTTGCAGCACTGAAACCTGCAGCAAAGTACCTTTTGTAAAGAAAAGGAAAAATAGTGAGATGGATTCTGTAAGGTAATGACAGAAGTCCTCTGAATGGAGCTATGTGCTGGCACAAGAGAAATCCTTTTCTCAAGAGACTACAGCAATCAGGAGTATTTGACCATTTCTGTTATGTTGAGAGGCAAAGTTACTTCTCATGCATTCAGGATCAAAGGATTCTTTTTCCTACTCTGGAAATGGCAGGCTTTTGCTTCCAGAATGAAGTGCAGCTCAATGCCTTTTTTTTTTTTTTTATGTTCTCCTGGTTATATGGCTGATATGTGATCTTACCTACTATAAAATTTAACAAAAACCTAAGTTCTGTTTGAAATAAGACAGAGGTTAACAGTCTGGATCAGATGCCCTTCCGTGATATTCCTCTATTGTTTTATTACCGTCTTTCTATATTACATTTTTCCAAGTGCTAAGGAAATACCAGCCTGAAGTTAGATAGTACAAATGAAGATACAATGATATATACTGATAGTTAGATGTTAATGAAATACTAGATACTACATCAAGTCCTTGAAAATTCAGTTATCAGAAGCTTTGCCTTCAGTGATCTTAAAATGGGTCACCCCAGGATCCTGAGTACTAGTTTTGTTGCATAACAAAATCCAGACGCAAGTAGTTCACTTCATATTTTAGAGAGTGGTGTACATCCTAAGACAGATTTACTTCTGTGAGAGTATATGTTAAAAGTTCTGAGAACTTTCTAGTATAAGGTAGAACACTGAAAAATTTAGCAGACCTTTTAGGAAAAAAAGCTTGCTCTAGGGAGAGGCAGCAACTAGGTTTCCTGTCCATTTCTAGCCATTTAAAAGTCATTATTTCTGATTTTTTTTTAATTTAGTTTGGTAGTAAGGTCACTGTTTAATCTATTGTGTTTATCAGTCTCACCTCTTGGGGTAGTTTACTTATTTTGCATTCTTTAACTTAACTTCTGGAATCAGTACTTGAAGGTCTGTTATTTCATACTGTATTCTGCAAAACTGAACTGTACCTAAGCCTTGTTTCATATTTTTGACCAACATCTGTACTATTTTTCATCTTCATTCGTTGATTTTGTTGCAGCAGTAAGTAAATTTGAAATTGATTGCTGTCAAATCTGTTTTGTGTATAAATTAATAAATTCAGATAAGATAGAAGGTAAGTGGAGAAGCTTCCAAAGAGAATAAGGAGGTGCAGCCCATTTATGACATACTGATGATTTAGTACCAGAATGACTTCAACCTTTTGGGGGCAACTGCTCAGCTAGAGTATTGGCCTTCCTTGAAACCTCAGAAGCTGTCTGCCACTTAAGCTTTACTTTTTACATGGGGATGATGTATCTTGCCACAGTTTTAATGGATAGATATGAAATTTAGGAGGCAAAAGAAAGCATTTCCTAATTTAAAAACTCAGCACTGAATGTATCTCTAGTGCTTTAAGGCCTAACTGTAAACAGGGCTTTTGAAAGTAAGAGGAACTATATAGAACACATGAGGAATTTTGACTTTTTTTTAATTTCTTACTGAAGAGAGAGAGCAAATGGGTACACAGCTAAGCTGTCAGCAGCTGCTTCCAAATATTTAGGCTTCTGTGTTTTGATTTAAGGCCTTGTTTTTGTGTAATTGTTTCTGCTTCATAGTAGTATCCTGGCACTGTGAAAGCAGCCTACTTCCTCTACTTCAAATATTGTGAGAACGTAAGGATTTTTATGTTGATATATTTTCATTACAATTGAGGAACTGGTGTGTACCAATATCGTCTCTAAAACACTTTTGCGCTGCATCTACGCTGAGGGTCATAGCCATCAGTCATTTTAAGGAAAAGCAAAAGAAAATTGTATTCTTTACTAAGTAGACCAGTAAAACTCTGAAGCGTACCCCAGCCTTTCTATTGTGTCTCCATACAGACCAGTATACACGGAGAACCAAGTTCATCGTACTGAATTACCACTTCATGTCCTCTTAAATGAGAATGAAGCAACTTCTCCACTTACTGTGAATGCTGCATAAATGCCTACTTGGATATAAAATCTGTGAGGTTTTTTTCTATTTTAGAATTAAATCTATTGGGTTTTCCTGAGAATCTTGTTCTTTGTATAAGTTCTTGCAGATTGTGGGTTTTTTTCAGGATATACTTAGCTTTAAGAGTTTTTTCTCCCTCTTTCCCCCAGTTACAGTAGTGTTCTCTCCAATTGTCAATCTGGTACTACAGTGCTTCATTGATTTCTGTCCTCTGATAGTTTGTCCTTGTATGTGGTTTTGCTCAGCATGAAGTCTGTGTCTTTGAAGCTGATGAATTCTTCATGGAGGCCACATGCACCGAGTTGTTCACAGGGCTAGGAGGTGTGACAGTGGGGGAAGGGGTCATGATAGGCATTGCAAATATTCTGCAGTAGACCTTTGCATTAATTCTACTGATATGAAATATATCAGTATCTCCTGTTGAAATGTGATATTAACATTTTTGCTATGTGCAAGTGGCTGATTGGATTGTCTGACATTTGAAAATTCCTATTTATTACAGCTCTCAAGTTTGCAAGCTGATGTTTGACTAGAGTACATGGGTGGATGTATCCTGTTTGTATTTCTAATGGAGTATTTCATTCTAATGGATAAAATTATACATTAAAATAACTTTAATCTTTAGCACAAGATCTAGACTGTCTGCTTAGCTTCTTTTTTTTTTTTTTTTTTTTTTTCATCAGGGTAGATGTTGTCTGTATGACCTTAAAAAAAATCCTTATCTCATAAAAGAAAATAAATGCCTTTAGTCACATTACAAGGGAAAATGGTTCTGTTTCCTTGATCGGACTCGACACAACATCTCTGAAATTAATCTTGAGAAGTTCTCTGATTGATCTGGCTTTTTCTAGGTCACTGAGCTATATTTCCAAAGTGTTTATACAATCTATTGGAATCAATAAACAATTTAAACTGATGTAACTGCAGAATGTTTGCAAGTCTCAGGGAAAATTGAAAGTATGACAAAGAATACAGCTGTGGAAGTTTATTTCGTTTATCAGGACAAACAGTCATTGAAATGAAATGACTTTCCTTTCAACATTGCAATATAGTAGTGACACCTTAATCACATAAATAAGTAGCTAGTCATTTTAAAAACTCATTATTGGTGATTTTGGGCAAATGGAATCCCTTTATTTATACTCTAAGAAGCTGTGCTATAAAGCCTGGTTTATAAAATATTTCCAATAGGAGAGTTAGAATACCATAAAAAGGTTTCACTTCAGATTATGGTTGTTACATTTCAGGCATGATTTATTTTAGTTTGAGTTCTGGTTGGTGTAAATATTAACATTATGACTTTAAATGTGGATTAGACTCTATAGTTATTACTAAAATTAGACAATACTAGAAAATCTAATTAAAAAGAAGCTGATACTGGTTTTAATCACACTTAAGGTTTTGGGGGGTTTTTTGTTGTTTTTGTTTTTGTTTTTTTTTTTTATGGTTAAATTAAGTTTGGGGTATGTGTGAGTGGCTAACGTTTCTTATACCACAGCGCACACTAGTGGATTGATCAAGAAAATCATGTGAAGAAAGAAATTTAATAGTTCTTGAATTAAGTACTTAAATCTTCTTCTTGCAGACATAGCCAGTTATTTTCTAAATGAATGCAATAGCAACCTGGGTTTTCTTTTTTCCAAAAGTAAATACATTTATCTCCAAGGATATTTGTAAATTTAAGATTAATAACAATGATCTGAAATCTTACATATGAATTTCATAAAATTTATTTCCCAAAGGCAATCTATTCCAACTCTCTTCTCAGTGCCAGCAACCTGGATGTTAGAAGAACAGCAACTGCTGTATAAATAAAATAAAATGCCATGACTTCATGGGTCTATCTTTTATTTGTTGAATGGGAAATGACTCACTCTTACTGCATCTAGGATGCAGATTTTTAAACATGCATTTCAGAGGTTCTTTAACATTAGCAAATGTTTGTAAATGCTAATGGGAAGTCATAAGATGATTGTACCACTCCAGCCCCTTTACATCTCTTCTTTAAAAAAAAAAAAAAAAAAAGTTTTTTTTCAAAGCGCCACTAGTGATAGAGCACATGCATTGTAATGCAGTACATCAAACTGGGTTTGACTGTGTTGGGGAAATGAATGTTCCTGCCTGCTTAAGGGACTTAAACTTCTGTTTCCTTAAAGGCAATGCTTTCTTCCCCTAACAAAATTCTTGCTTTCTTTTGGAAAAAGTTCTGTGAAATCTTTTAGTGCAACAGATCGTTAGATTCTGCTATGCAAAAGAATTGGACAATATGGATTTGCCATACATGCTGCTGTGTTTGAAATTAATTATAAATGTTTAGGATGATAATATGAATGTTATAGCCAGCTTTGTGAAAATTCTTGCCTGTAATGATCCAAAGATAAACAATGTTAAATGTCACTAGAAATATGGAAAATACATCCCTCTATAGATTAGGTGATTTATCCTTTCAATATTGTGTCATTTCTTGGGAAGCTTTCTTGAAGAAAAATAGAAGCATTCAGAAATAGATGATGTGATTTAAGGAAGCTCATAAATAGGCTGAAGATATGTGGGCTGTTTAGAATGGAGATGTATTTTGGAAAGGTAAGCAATAATAAGTGAGTCCAAATAAGTTGATTAGATACAAGAAAATAGGAGAAAGTTACTCAAAAGCAGAGAACTGATCACTTTCTACTTAGATCTCTGTCTTTCTCTGGAAATAGAAGGAATGATCCCAAGGACTGCAAAAAGCTCCTTGCCCTGCCTGTAACCTTCAGGGCAACCTGGCACTTCCCATTTTCAGGATCCTGCTTCCATTGATCTTAATGTTGCCAAGTTACTTGTTTTAGACTGAAGCTTTCTGTGTGTATTTAGTTCGTTCTTTTTGGAAGGAGCTGTACAGTTATTTAGCTGTATTGACATTTCTGAGAGTTTGATGAAGGTAAACTAAGCCAGGCACGGTCAGATCAGGGATTTCAGAGTGATAGACTGGATAATACAGCCAATGTGATACATCGGAGAGAAGAGAGCAGAAGGACTTTCAGTCCCAGTCCCACAAACCCATCCAGAGCACACTGTAGAATCTAACAGTTCAGAGTCATGATGTTTCTCCACTGCATCAAATTTGGGAAGCCAACTACCAAAGCATGTCGCTGTTGCTTATGCTCCTTAATCCACTCAGAGTATGGCAGCCCAGTACTGCCATTGGCTGTTGTTCCGTTAGCTCAAATTGCAGTGCTATACCAGCTCACAGCTTGCCTGGTGACCCATATTGATATTAGCATGATACCACATCATGAGGTTTTCTTTTCCTGGTGCAAAGTCAGGCTCTCAGAGGTTAGGAAACATTGAAAGGAAAATGCTCAATCTTGATTTGGTGCTATGTTTCTATCCACTGTGATAAGATTGTGCAAGTAAACATTTCATAACTTTTCCCCAATAATTTTTCCTTATGTTGATCTCCTCTCCTTTTTTTTTTTTTTTTTTTTTTAATAATATATTTTTGAGTGTACTGACACGTGGTTGGTGTGTAAATGATCCTATTCTTAAAATCTTAGTTGCTTCCTGTAACAGTCTGTGATTAACTATTGATATGAAATTTCTGCCAGCTTCTGAACTTACTGAAAAGGATGAGGGTTTGTTTTTTTTCAGTAAAGTGGAAAAAATGTGCTGCAAAATATAGAAGGGTAAAATCCAAAAGTAGCTGTTTTATGTCACTCATACCAAGCAAGCTATCTCGTTTTTAAGGCAAAAAAGCAACTTAAAATGCAGTTCCATCTTGCAAAATAAAGATTGTGAATTTGCATGTTTTTAACTTCATGGGCTTTCCAACTTGTACTCATTGGGGTTATCTTCCTGTTAATTTATTCCAGTGAAAAGAATTTCATGTGTATAATACTTCTTTTAAAAAGAGGAAAATGAAACTTGATCACTGGGAATAGAATAACGGTATAGCTTATCTGTAGGGACAATACAAACATTATGGAAATATTACTCAAGTTACAAAATCATCAACATTTTCTATGCTTTGCATCTTCTGTTGGTATTGTGGATGCATACCTCTAATGCACTGCTTTGAGATATTTCTTTACTTGTACCCTAGAAAAGGAATCAAATCTAAACTTTTTGTATGTTCCAAATAAAAGGAAATAATGCGTGCCTAGTAATTAAAAAAAAAAATAAATCTGATTCAAAAGCATGTTTGAGCTTTTCAACTAGTAAATATTCCTTCTGCTTGTTTTTCCTCTTCCTCTTACAGATTTAGCTCTGGTTGGCCTTCACCAGCAAATGGAGATGAGATCCATAAAAGAGTGAAAAATATTTTAAGGACACACAGTGCCAGACAGCGCCTAATTTTTGTAAGTTTCACTACAAACTAAATCCTTTATTTTCTCCAAGACGGCTGAGGAAGAGAACTGTGCCTACAGTCTTGGATTTATTATAATGTTGTCCTTTGAGGCATCTTTGTTTGTAGGAATATGGATTTAGTATATAAGTTGAACTGTTTCACACTGATTTCAGTCACTTTCTTATGTTCAGCCTTTATGGACAGTTGGTATAGTTAACCCTCTCACAGGTTATTGAGGAGAGTTACATTTTATTCTTTTTCATATCTGGTTCTCCCCTTCCGATTTCAGCAAAGAATATGTTACAGATCTGTAGAACATCAAGGCTTAACAGGTTGGGTAGCTACACATCAGCAAATGCTTGTGTCCAGCTGTTTGTAGAGCTAATATTATTCTTCAGATGTCTGCTTTTTTTTCCTTATTTATCTGGCTTTCAATGAACAGAGCTCTTTATCTAATGAGATTATGCCTAGGATCAGACTATTTTGTCCTCGAGTCTGATGGAATTTTGAAGTATGGTTTTAGACAGATAAAGATTTTTGCTACTGCAGTTTTGAGAAACCTGGCTGTGGCACAGGATCTCCCTGACCATAGCATTATACAAAGTGGAGGGCAGTGATGAGTGTCGTTCCTCGGGGTCGGTGTTGGGACCAGAGCTGTTTAACATCTTTGTTGGCCACACGAACAGTGGGACTGAGCGCACCCTCAGCAGGATTGCCAACACCACCGAGCTGTGTGGTGCGGTGACACGCTGGAGGGCAGGGATGCCGTCCAGGGGGACCTGGGCAGGCTGGAGAGGTGGGCCTGTGTGAACCTCATGAAGTTCAACAAGGCCAAGTGCAAGGTCCTGCCCACGGATTGGGGCAATCCCACGCACAAACACAGGCTGGACAATGGGTGGGCTGAGAGCAGCCCTGCGGAGAAGGGCTTGGGGGATTAGTGGATGGAAAACTGCCTGTGAGCCAGCAACGTGCGCTCGCAGCCCAGAAAGCCAACCGTGCCCTGGGCTGCCTCAAAAGCAGTGTGGGCAGCATGGCGAGGGAGGGAATTCTCCCCCTCTGCTCTCGTGAGACCCCCCCGCAGTGCTGTGTCCAGCTCGGGGGCCCTCAGCATCAGAAGGACACAGACCTGCTTGAGAGGGTCCAGAGGACCACAAAGATGATCAGGGAGCTGGAGCACCTCCCTTAGGAGGCCAGGCTGAGAGTTGGGGTTGTTCAGCCTGGAGAAGAGAAGGCTCTGGAGAGACCTTACAATGGCCTTCCAGTGCTTAAAGGGGGTACAGGAAAGGTGGGGAGGGACTCTATCAGGGAGTATAGTGACAGGACAAGGGGTAACAGTTTTAAACTGAAAGAGGTTAGATTTAAATTAGCTGTAAGGAAGAAATTATTTCCTGTGTGGGTGATGAGGCACTGACCCAGGGTGCCCAGAGCAGCTGTGACTGCCCCCTCCCTGGAAGGGTTCAAGGCCAGGTTGGACGGGGCTGGGAGCACCCTGGGCTGGTGGAGGTTGGAACTAGTTGATCTTTAAGGTGCCTTCCAACCCAAACCATTCTGTGATTCTATGATTCTGTGATTCTGTGAAACTGAATAACAAGGTGGTTCATCTGCAGAAAACTTATTACCATCTTCAAGTGTGAGGTGAGGTAAGAGAAATGTAAGATAAAAGGAGGTGGGTAAGATTAGGAGCCTTGATGAAATTACTGTTTTTGTCTGACAGTGTAACATAGTTAGAAGAGTCATGAGTCTCTCAGAGAGGAGAAAGACATCTTTTTTGCTTCAGTTCCTCCTAGAAAAAGGAGTGTTAACAGAAATATGCTTTTGAATGTTGCTGCAATTTTAAGTTACTACTGTCCCCAGCTGTCCACCCTTCCCCTCTGACGTAGCCAAACAGGCTGAAACCATGACATTACTGTATCATTGGGAAGTGTGATAAAGAGTGTGGGAGCCTTGGCCCCCCACCTCACGCTGAAACGCAGAAACGGCAGGCGTAGCTCTAGGACACTGGCGTGTGAGCGGTGCTGGCTGGCGTACGGTGACTACTGGCCACAGGAAACCCATGGCAGAGGCTGGGGTGGTAGTGAAGGGTATTGTCTCAATCCACTGCTGCAAGATGTACTGAAGAACATCTTTCTTAGCTCTGAAAACTCCATTTATTTGTTTATTTCCCCAAATTTATCCATTCTAGGCAGCTCCTTGTGTTGCCTATGTGTTCACTCAATCTGATTATTTTCTCATTTCTGTTCAACCTTCATTTTTTGCTTAGTTGTGCTTCTTGTTTTAAACTCTGAAAAACCACTTCTCATGCATGCTAAGACCATTTGATCTAGTTCATGCTGTACTGTCCTGAGTTTATATACAAACATCATGATCTTGTCAGCTGCTGCCTCTCAAAGAGAAGATACCCATCACACTTTTTTGTGCTTCGGCCACTCCAAAATAGGTACAAATCATGTCAAATGCTTCTCTAATGTTTCAATGAACTTAAGATAACAAATTGGATTTCATGACGGTCCATCACCTACATGTAATGAAAGTTTGCACAGCCTGAACTATCTCCAGTGGTCCTTGACTACTTTCCTTGAACAGTAGACCATGACTTCATGATAAAAGATTTACTAGTTTGTTAGGAGAGCTAGATGGCTGGTTACATGGTCTCTTCATACAGCCATAAAGACTATTAAATATAATAATGGGTAAAGGAGAATTTGATAATTTTCTTCCTATTTACTTATTTTACTTATATAATTTAAAACATTCTACTCTAAAATGACTTACACATATGTGGGTATTCTCTTGTTACTGCAATATTGCACAAATGCACACAAATTTTCAAGCATGATCTTAGATTCTTGAAGCATGGTATTTTCTGCTGGCTTTCTGTTAGTGCACCTCGTCACTTCCAGTATCGAACACTTGCTGAATACTCACAGGGATTAATAATCAGAGATTATGCTTTTCTGTTTCCTCTCTCCAGTTGGAAAACTTCATGTTTCTGCCCTAAAAAAATCCAGATAGGATTTTTGAGTCTTTAATTACTAACCTGGTCAGAACAGTGCTGGAAAAAGACTGTTTTTCTCACTCCATTTTATTCCACTGGGCAAAAGGAACGGGAGGATGTTACAGAGAAGTCTCACAGTGTTTGGTAATTGTGTAAAGCTGACTTGTGAAAGCTGTGCTAACAGCAGCTGACCTGCTTAAAAAAAAAAAAAAAAAAAAAAGAAAAGTTATGTCTGCTTGTAGTGAGTACTGTAAAATACACCAGGATTGCTTGTGCTTCCCCAGATGGCCCAAAGTCTAGGCTGTGGTGTTATGCAGTGGAGGGATGAGCTAAATGGGTCATCTTGAAAGTGAGGGAATAGTAAAGCGAGTGCACTGGCAGTGTGATGAGTAGGTTTCTGGCTCCTGTCTGGATCCTCTTGCAAACTTTGAAAGGTTAAAAAGTATCTCTTACTCTGTTTCATTCCAAAGAGCTTAATGGTAAATAACTATTCCCAGAAGCATCCAGCTGTGTTTTCCAAAATTTCGTTTCCATAGTGCTCTGTAAAAATAGTGTGACTGGAGCTCTGCTGCAGATTCCTTAGGGCGTCCACTGTAGCTTTTTGCTGTGACATTCTGACAGTATCATAATGCGTCCATTTTTTTTTACTTCCAGAACATAATTTGCCCCTGGCAAATGCTGCAGTTTTATTTACCACTGTACCCCATTTCCTCTTCAGTGCTTTGTAGTCTGTGACTGCTGAAGGAAGACAGTTTTCCTGTTTACAAACTCACTTATTACCTTGAATTTCACCACGGTAAATTGTGTGGGGTTTTTCCTCATCCATATGCCTGCCATTCAGCTTGCTCTGCATCTTATTGCCATCTACCACTAGATCTATTGTCTTTTCTCCCAGTTTTGTGTTACCAGAAGTGTGATTATTTTTACTGCACAGTCTTTTTTTTCCAGTTATTTCTTCTACAGCATGAAAGATTTTGTTTACTAATCCTTATAGCAATTGGCCTCAGCTGAAATTGTGAAAAAGAGGTGATCACTTAGTATCACCTCTTAGAGTAGTGTCTTTGATCTTCAGAGTAGAGTGAACGTAGTTGCATGTGGTGGAATTTCTACTAGCCTGTCTCAGGTGAGCAACTGTCTCCCTTCACATGAGGTGTTTTGTTTCTTGCCTACCTAAGAGGGCAACTCTGGGTTAATTAATGTCTAGATAGCATTTGGAAGGCAAGACTGCTTTCTGGCGACTCCTAAGAATACCACTGAAGGGTCATTAAGTATATCATAGATATTTTTTTCAGTTGGGTAAACATGTTCTCAGCCCAGTATATGGAATCAAAGTATTCAGATGTGTAGATTGTTTTCTGTCTGGTAAAATGCATTAAATGAATAATGAGAGCTTATTATAAAAGCTAATAAATAATACATTTACGTTCTTTTTCCCCTTTTCTGCAAGAAACAAAAGGCAGTGAGCAGTTGGTTTCATAGCATTTTACCAACTTGTTGGAGATTATTGAAGCTTGTGCTGTCTGCATAGTCTACACTGTCTAGAAATTCTTTCCAGTTTATTACCTGAAAATTATTAGCTGAATTGTACTGAACTTAATTAAAAGTGTTCATAAATGGCATTTGGCTCATTATACTTTGTCCCTTTCTCCCCCAAGAAATGTAAGCACTTTAATAGTCTTCTACTAAATGGAAAGAAAGTATTTTTGAAATGAGATCATTGTAATCAGAAACCAAGATAATGAGAATTTGATTTCTGTTTTTTTAGGATGAGAGTAACTCATCAAAAGGAGACTTGACTAAGACAAGAGAATCTTCACATAAAGCACCCTTATTCATGAGTGAACTGCAGAGCAGGTATGGAGTTTTTCGCTGACCAAGAGAGAACAGTCATACTCATGATATTGCCCTTTAAATTTAGCTGAAAATTTCTCTTCCCGTTTTGAGCTATGCAATATATTACACTGGGAAAAGACTTACGTAGGAGTTAGTCCTACCAGGCTTTTTCACCTAAAAGCAAAATACAGTTAACGGTAATTATGCCTTTCATGCTGTTTGACACTGTGTCAGAATAGTCTTCATAAAACACTGATTTTGGAACTGGACAAGGTCATAAAAATGATACTTGGGCAGTTGTTTTTGGATTTTATCAACCAGAGGGCAAATGTCACTTCAAAAATAACCAATTGGTTATTTTTTCTTAAAACTGTGGGAGTGCAAAAATAAACTGAAGTTTATTTAGTAATATGGTTTGGGGCTGTTTTGCTCCTTTTTTTTTTTTTACAAAACACATATTTGGAAAAGGGAATCATCTTAAAAAAAACACAACAAAGATATATAATGTGGCTTAGTGATTCAGCATGCCATATTTTAGAAGACATCTTGAAAACCTGAGATCTTGAAAACCTGGTTTAAGTAGGTTAATTACTCTGTGTATGCCTCACATATAGAACTAGAATTTCATTTGAATATTTACTTAAGAGACACCAACTGGATTGATTTTGACAACTTCTGTAGTAGAAGTTATCAATATTGATGTTCTGTATGTATGCACACAGTGTTTTATACAGCGCTATGGGTACTTGTTGGAGGAAGTATATTAAGTAATGTAAAACGTTTTTGGGGTTGTATGGCTTTTCTGCCTTGCTTTATATTAAGAGAGAATTCCTAGAACGGTGATGCTAAATTTGAGAGGTCTTGACATTAGGAAAAAAAAGGTTTTATTTTGATTATTAAATGTGATGCAGTATTTTGTAACAAAGACTTCTCAAATCACCACCATATACCACTGAAAGGAGAGTAATTCAGTATGGGTATAACGATGAACTTCTACTTGGAATTAATAAGCTCTAAAAAGTTCATTTATGATTTGTTGACTTGTTTAAAAAATCCTGTAATTTGTAGTCACCTCTGTGCAAGGGAGCTAGTTAGTCATATTTTCACATGCATGTGAAGTTGCTCCTGAAGTTGTTAGTATTTCTGTACCTGTGCTCACTCCTGTATTCCGTGTGTAGCCTTGTTGCTCCCTTATTCTTTGTCCTGACAGCTGCTGCAATTAAATTGTGTAGGATGTGTTTGTGAGAGAGGAAGTGCAAGTCTTTGTTTTGAGGCAGCTTTGGGACTTTGAGATTGATACTGAAACTGAAGTCCATGAAAAAAGGAAAAACAAACGCTAATACTACAGAATCATGAAGTGATGGGATATGAAATGTGGCACTCACATTGGGAGAGGACTACTCCTTTTTTTAGAGGCCAGCTGCACTAGTCCCATTCACTGAAGGGCAGGACACAAAAGGACTCGAGGACAGTCTGATTGCTGAGTGTTTGCCACAGTGCTCATAAACAGTATACAAGGACAGAGACAGAGTTCATAGAAGGACATGGTACTGTCGACCAAATGTTGGCAGTAAAGTAGATAGATGATTGAAAACCACTGGGAGCAAGGAAAAGGACCATGTTTTGTGAAATATTTAGTATATGATTCACTCAGAAAAGAACTTCTGGGACTCTTAAAGGAGATGTATGAGGGAACAAAAGCATATGACAGGTATTTCAGAACAGGGAGTTGCGTGCAGAAATCCTGCTGTTAATATGATTTGTGAGTGTAATTCCCAGATTGCTTAGCTCAGGTTGTCAGCTGGTTTCCAGTTGAGACAGGAGAAGGACTCTTCCCTAGCTTGGCTGTATCTTTGTCCACACCAGTGCAAAGTATCTCATGTGTAAGGACTGGCAAATGGAAATATATCCACACACACACCCCCCTCCAAAAAAAGAATGGAAAATTAAGCTGATGTCTTTTTAAGTCTTTGTCAATACCAGAATAAGGAACTTGTGAAAGATACTGTTGTTTTTTGAGTCTTTCCTTTATTGCAGTTAAAGTGGTTAGATTTTGAGTGTCTCTTTTAGTAGAAGGCAAGCACAAGGCTGACTGCAGGAAATGGATTCCAAGGAAAAGAATGTCAGAGTTGTTTGTTGTATAGTTACAAGTGCTGCTCCTAGTGCCATGCTTTTTTGTTGGGCTGAGAATTCTCCATCAGAAGTGAGGTAACACAAACTGCAGAAAGGAGGTAGAACTTCAGTTCTTGATGGATCCCCAGAGTATTAACTTGTCTACATTTAACATAGGCCTGTATAACTTTTCTATTGATTTTGCTGTTTGGTAGGTTGGTTTCTTTGTGTCCAAACTGTGAAGCACAGTTCACCCTCTCCAGGGTGATAAACAGGTTTAAATTTGCTTCATACTGTTGACTGACTTTAAATGTTGGAGACTACTTGAAAAAGTTTTAAGTGACCCTCCTCCCTTTTTAGTATTGGAGCCACATAGAGATCTTGTTGTTGCTTTATGTGTTACAGGTTGGTATCACTCTAATATTTGAATGTAAAACATCTGATAGCAAAACCTATTCCTCCTTTTGTTTTCCATGAAACAGTGGAGGCTTAGAAATGTGAATTTAGAAAACTGATCCTGTATCCTCCTCTTCTTCCCTTACCATTTTCCTTTCTTAAAGTGGAAACCTTGAGTTTTGATGCAGCTAGCTAGAAGTATACTTGTGAGTCATTTGACAGAAAGTTTCTTTCAACTTTTTCACATGTGTTTACTGATACTGACTGGAGGACAAAGTTTTAAGTAATGGTTTGACCACAGTAGATTAATAAATTATATTTATATAAGAAAATGTAAAGTTTCCCTGTGAAGTGTAATCCATTTCCTATGTGAAGATCGTCACTGTAAGCTTCCCATTCCCAGTTTCATTTCCCAGACTGAGAGTGTTCATGAAAGGCTGAAGATAACTCAGTCCTAATTTTTAAGTGTCTTATGTGCCTCATTCTCTGAGCAGATGTGAAAAATGTCACCTCGGTAGTCATTTTTTGCTTAGGAGTTTTGAGCTACTTGTTTCATGCTTTGTTACAGGAAAATGGCTCATTTCATTATATGACAAAAGCCTTTGTTTTGAAAGTTTCAGGAGAAGGCAAATGGTCATGAAGTTTAGATATGCATACTTCAGATTTGTCAGTGTTTTGTAATGATTTTCAGAGAATAAATTTCACTTCATAGATCTAGGAAGTAATTTCTCAAAGCAACTGAAATATGAGATTGTATTTGTGTTTAGTATTACAACAGTGACACAGAAGATGGGGTGGGGAAGGAACACTCGATTGCCACTATATCATAATGTATTTGGTAGAATACTTAATTCAAGATGCTTCTGATAGAGCACTTTACAGCTGCAACCACAGTAATTTAATATACCTCTGATAGATTGTCTTCATATTGAAATAGCTCCTTGTGGTTATGTTTTGACCTTCAAAGGACACAAAAATCCTACTGTGTGGGCACTAAGCCTATCCTGTTGCATAGACTTAGTGCCTAGTCACACTGCGTATCAAAATACAGCAAAATTACTGCATGCTCTTTGAAAATTAATTCTCTTTCTATTTGGGAGGTATTATCAGGTGCACTCAGATAAGTGGGGGAGAATTTGTGTGAATAAATAACGTGGGGTTCCCATTTCTTAGAAGTAGCTGCAGTGCAGTTTTTTATCAATCTGTGAAAGGTAATCTGTGATTAGCAGCTCTGCATTTGGAGTTCTGCTGGTTTTGTGCTTCTGGTTCATCTTCCTTATCTTGATTTGATGATTGTTTATTATATTCTTTCTGTTGACAGTTCACCAGTGCAGCAGAAAACTACTCTTTACTTGGATAATGGTGAATACTGGTCTGGTCGTGCAGCTGTATACAAGGGGAAGCCTCGCAGAGCGATCTTTGAAGAGAGTCTCGAGAAAATATATAGAAACATGTACCAAAAAGCTTCTGGCACTGTTTCAAACTGAAAAACACACTCCTGATAGCAATTCACCTGGAAATGCACAGTATGCAGTGTTCATATTTGTAACGAAACCTGTTTTTATGTAACAAACATTTATGCTCTACTTTTAAGGTATAATTATGGTTGGGCAGGGTTTTGGAGAAATGGGGGGGTTTGTCCAGGGTTGCCAAAAGGAAACTATTAACACCCCCCTGCTCCCCTTCCCTGTGCCCTGACCCTTCTCTCCTCCCCTCCTCCCAAAAATAAATAAAAAAAAAAAAACCAACAGCAACTAAGCCCCTCCACAGTTAAGCAAGATGTTGTTGCTCCTTTGAGACTATGAAAAGATAATAATTTGAAGACTAAAAGGTTTGCTGGACATTTCCTGTCTGACATCAACTCAGGTTTCAGCTGCAGACAATTCTTACTAAATAATTAAAGCTATTTAGTAATGTAAACAGAACTGGTTGAAGAAACAATATGTCCTAGTGTTCAGAGAGGGGTTCTAAAGAGGAAGGTGGATGTGGCTGTTGATTTAAAAGCATCCTGTCTGGGACAAAAGGAATTTTTTTCTAGAAAATTGCCTTTGGATTGTTTATTTTTGAGAAGGGCAGTAACCCTGGTACTGACCTACAGACATGCTTTCAAAGTAGTTGCAAGCAACTTTAGTCACAAATTTTCTAATACAGTCAAATTTTAAAAAAAACCCACCCAGTCCAGCAGCCTTTGTATCAGAAGAAAGGTCATCTTCACACACTCTGTGCATTTGGAAGTTTCCAGGTTCTCTCGAATGCAGCCATGATATTTGCCAATATATTTGTATTTTTTAAAAAAATATGAATAAGGAAGGAGTGCAGAAGGGAAAAGACTGGAGCTAGTCAGCAAGCTCCTCATATACCCCGTACAGGCCTCCTGAAGTTCCTGCATCACAATCCCACCTAATTTGGAGCCTGTCCTTCCCAGTCTGCTGGGATCCTGTTGGCAGAAATCGCATCATTTTTGCTAAAGGCCACCAAATGTTCATCAGCAGTTTGATGCTTTCCCTGGGGATGGAACCTTTTCAGCCTTGCACTGAACAGATCCCACATTAGCAGACTGGGGCAAATTGCCCATCTACTGAAAAGCAGAATGTTTTAAAAGGGCAAGAGTGTCCATCTCCTGCTTCCTTTCAGAATGGGGGGAAAAAACAAATGCCTGTTCTGGCTCCTTCCCTGACTGAGTGAACAGATTCAGTTACACCAGTGCCATTTTACCTGTTATGATTGGATAAAGGATAAAGCTAGCAGTACAGATGGCAGAACATATGACTGTAACCTGCCAGCATGCCTGTATAAACAAAAAGTTGGTCTACTCTGCCTTCCACCCTTTAATGCTGAGACAACATAATTGATTTGAGAAAGCAGTTGGTGAGCAATTATGCTAGTGGGAAAGCACGTTGAAAGGCTGTGTGCTTCTGTTTCAGCAAAGGGGACTCTCAGAGGAAGTGTCTTGCATATAGACATTTCTATTCCTTGTGACTGTTAAACCAGTTGAAGTGGATTAACACTGCTAACTTCCTGTCCCCGATGCCATTTAGCACATTAGTGCTTTCAAAGGGCATTAGTTGCACAGTCTTAGGCTAGGGATAACTGTTGAGTCACTCTGTGAAGTAGTAGCACACTTTTTTCGCCGAAGTGAAAAGTAAAACTTACCAAAGCTGTGCTGCTGAAGGCATGGTGGCCGTGGAGTGTTGTGCCCCAGGTACCTGGTGTTCATTCCTTAGCCTGTTCCTGTGGCCCCATATTAGTCTATGAAGGAATAGTTTCTTTCTCCTTGCTGCTCGAGAAAGTAGATATATTCAAATGGATCCTAAATAGGCAGGGCACATTCTGAGAGATACTTTCCACACTTTTTGTTTAAAATCAACCTGCTGGAATCTGAAAGGTGCTTCAGTTTCCTATATGTGTTTGAGCCATGAAGTTTAGTGTTCTTTTCATGGTATCCCACAGTTTTCATTCAATATTCTCTGTGGTTTTGCTCCCTGGTGTCATAGTTTAGTAAAAGTTACAGTCTTCTGAAGGTTGGCTGCTCCCCATGGGCCTGATCTGGTTCTGTGACACAGAAGTGCTGTTTGATTTTTTTCCCTCCCTGGCAATCCAGCGTTGCAGATGTTAGTCTCTTTGTTTAGTGTGTGAGAAGGCCTGAACACTGAGACTTTGGTTTTTTTGTATGGATGAGTAAGGATACAAGTTGCCATGAACTCAAGACACAAGGAGAGGATGAGAAGGGTTGGAGGCCACTGTGAAAAGACGGGATAATGTCTCTGAGGGGTCCAGAGGAATGGCTGGGGTGTATCTGTTTTATTCCTCTAGCTAAAGAGAAGCAGCATATGACAACCTTCAGCTTTTCATCAAAGACGAAAATTTTTTCATCAAAGGTGAAAACTGGATGGGAGAAAATAAAAAAAAAGTGTCATATGTTGAATTGTGACCAGTATGAATATTCTCACCGTAGCCTTCATATGCAGCATAACAACAAATGAAGCAGACAGGCTACGAGTGTCCTTGGCCTTGCTCCAGCTGCGAGGGGAGATGGTGTGTATAATGTCTTTTTGAATCAGCTGCTGCAGGATATGTGTTTCTCTCTTGGGTCCGAGTCATTCTGCAGCTTATGTGCTGTGATACAGCGCAGGGTTCTCTTCCAAGCGCTGTGCTGGAAATGCGGTTTGTTTAATGGAAAACTTTTCTCTGAAATGTGACTTAAGTCCCAAATTACTCCAATCTCTCCATAAAATCTGCAGACCACGTTGTTTTCAGAAGCATTTGGCCCCTTCCCTGTTTGCTCAGCTAACCCTCCTATTAATACGCATGCAGCTCAAATGCACTGAGCACTGCTGCTCCTTTGCTACTGCAGTATGTGATAAGTATAGGTTCAGGCAGTGAACCAACACAGTAATAAACTGTAATTGTTTAGTGCACCTTGCCTTCTAATACAATTTAAATCCCTTCTATCAAATGCAAATTTCTGGTTTCCTGAGTGGAGCTTTAAATAGCATTTTCTATGCTCATTTCTTATCTTTTGCCATCCACAAAGTGGTCTGTTAGTGACAGTAGGATGGCATAATTCCACCCCCATCATTTTGCCTCCTAAAGGAAAGCTGCCTACTCAAATCTAGAAATAATGGGCTAGATTAAGAGTGAATTAGTGTTTTTTCTGTAGAGTCTGTCTCTTTCTCTTGCCTCCCCAAGTTACTATCACCCATGCGTATTCTCACCAAATGCTGTTCAGCATCCAGTGTAGCTTGCAGTATGCAATCAGTGCAGTATTTTAATCACTTTCTTTTTAATAAATCAGAATCTGCTTTCTAGTTGCTCCCTTTCCCCTTTCTTACAAATAACTCGGTATGATTTAGGATCTTGGCGTGGCTTTGGTCAAACTACCTGCCAGTGTTCAGTAGAAATGCGGATTCTTTGCTGAGTAGGAGTTACTTTGGAAATCACTCGGTCATTGACTTGTTGTAGATTGAAGGCAAAAATGTCAAGTGCTTTAATGATTTGCCTTATCTAAGTTTTCAACTAGAATAAGGGAAGTTTAAATTGGTCCACTGGGGCCAAGAGGCAGAGGGGTGGCTAGAGTAGTGGGAACAGGTAGGAGCAGCTTCGTAAGATACATGGGCAGCAGTGTTTATACTCCAGATCTGAGCATCTTGGAAGATGATGAGGGCTTGTTCTTTAGATTGTGCATCACATGTTTGAATTCTGTTACATATTTAGAGGCTGCCAAAACAGTGAGGGGAGAAAGTAATGTACCTATAGGCATTAGGAATATATTTTTGGGGTAAAATAACAGAACATTTAGCTCTGCTCAGTATTAAATAGTTTTTCCAAACTCCCTCTCATTGTTACCTCAGCTGTAAAATGGGGAGTTTGTGCTCTGTTGAAGCTTAATTAAATGACTGTGAAGAGCTTTGGGATGCTGAGGTGAATGTTACAGAAATTATTTTGTGGAAGCCTGGCTGAAAAGTCCCATCTCATCTCCAGGTTACTAAAAAGGCTTTATTTTAATTTTCCCAGGTTTATTATGTTTTAATCAGACAATTATTAAGCAAGTCTTAATCTTATCAAGATAGAAATCTATTAAATCTAAGAGATGGCTGAAAAAGATAATGAAATGCTTTACTAAATGTGCTTTTAGGAGCTAATCTTTACAGTTGGTATCCTACTCAGCTTCTGTCTCCTGCATGATCTTGGTTCATCATACTGATTGCTCTCGTGATATTTTATTTTTTGTAATACAATTTTTTTTTTGTCATCCTGATGTCTTAGTGCTGTCTGCTGTGTGTACTAATCAGCAGTATTAACATCTATCACATCATTTGTTCTTATCCTCTCCCCAGGAACAGGGGGTGCAATGATGTGTGCAACTTGACATTGGAAGAGCTTGTGTGGTGTGCCACAGGTTTGTCAGAGAAAGTAAGTTGGAAGGAATCTCTGCCTTTTCAGTCTGTGTGCAAGGAATAGCTGATTATTATATAATTCTGCTCTTCCTCATTTTTAAGCTTGAAGGTGTTCTATGGAACGCTGAACTATGCAACAAAGTTCTTAGCCTTTTAGCAGTGGTCACTTAACTGTAAAAATCTTGTACTGTGGAATCTCTAGGTCATAGAAAAACCTGCTACCATGATATTAATTCAGTGGTTATAGAGTGATCGTTATCAGGATGCTGAGAGTAACTCAAGAGATTTGTTTAGCAGTCAAGGAATTTGGGGAAACTTTCAAATCAAGGAAACATAGCTTCTTGGTTTCAGTGTTTTCAGTTGAAGCTAAGAGAGAACAGCACTGCTGTGGGTGATCTTACTGAGCTGCCTCCCGGACAGAAATGATGTCTGGTTTAGGTGATGGTCTCTGGTAGCAGCAGAGAACCAGTCTCTGCCCAGTTCCTTTCAGATTCAACGAATAAACCCATGTTGTGGGAAGTGGTCAAGAACACCTAATATTCCTGTTTCTATTACGCAGCGAACTATTAAACACAAGCCCCATTGGTTGCGTTGGTTTCTACCGCTTTCTCCATGGAATTCAAAACATCATCGACCAAAGCCCTTAAAAGATGAGGCTGTAGCTCCTTTTGTTATCAGTGTTGTCTTACCAAGGACATGCAGTTTGTTTCCTGTTTGTCTTCGGTGAGAAATTCTCTGAAGTGCAGTGATAATTCGTCTGGATGGCAACATAAAGGAACTGTAATCTTTCTCTTCGCTTGATCAATGTGGAGATTGTGCTTTTTATTCATGTGTCTTTCCATTCAATTCTGGGTGATTGCTTCTGACCTAGCAGAGAACTCTCTGGAGTCTGAGAACTGGTGATCTGAGCCGCCTTCTCACCTCGTCAGGGAAAGGAGGGGTCTGCTGCAGAATGACATCCCTCTGGCTTCGTAAGAATTTACCGATCCTGAGGATAGAGCACAAAAATTTTGTTCTGTGGTCAGGCATTTGCGTAGCCCTGGAGGGCTGATGCCATTGCGTGAACAGAGCTTCACACAATGTGGGGGTGGGAGGCTGAGAGCAGGGGTAGGCTCTGAGAGAGGTTTGATGGGTGCCATGCCATGAATTATCAGTGTGTAAAATAACCTGTGAAACTTAATAAGTAACAAAAGCACCATTTACACCACTGAATGGTGGTGAATGCTAATGCTTCTGCTTGTATTGTTACACTGACTTGAATTTTTGAATGTTTAGCTAATTGTGTTGCTACTAAGACTGTAGTTGTATGAACTGTTTCATTCAGTACTCCAGTAGTAAACATTTGCTAAGAGGTTGCTTTCCCTGCCCGCCTTGTTTTCACCACAGTCATCTAGTGTTTACATACATTTTAGCCTCTATGCCATTTTTGAAGGCTTTATTTGTCTCATTTACGTTGCTGGTTTGGATAATACTTAAATATGAAATCCATCTGGGAAACATATTGTATATTCACGTTGAGGGGTAAAACCAGTTTTTAATTAAAATTTTATACAGCACTTGTATTTCACTTTGTCCTGTTTTATTATGAAACACTTCAATCTTCTTCCTAAAACACATATGTCTTGTGCGTTTCAAGATGTTCCTTGTTGCTCATGCAGAACCAGTTTCTGAGCTCTGTCAGCAGAGTGCCATATGTTCTGGGGTTCATTTAGCTTCTCTGGCGTTTGTGTAGGCAGCATATTGGATGTAATGCAGCTAAGCTCTGCTCCATTCTTTTCTTTGTAAACTTGTCAAGAGATGAAAAAAGCAGGGAGAAGAAAACACTGAATAATACTCGAGTGACTTGAATTATCAGTAAATTATGGTAACTCAGCCAATGAAAATTGAGGTTTCTCATGTACTTGAGGATTTTCCTTAATTGTGGCTTTGCAATAGCCTATAAAGTGATGCGTCCCTCGGTGCTGCCCGGTATTACACCCAAAATGAGAATGCTGAAGATTGAGATATAACCCAAGCCATTTGGAAATGACAAGCATTAAGTGCTCTTAATTTTGCATTGGTCTGCTATTTTAAATTAAAAAAAAAAAAAAGGTAATAGAAGATGGGCATGTGAAGGGGATGTATTCCTCTTTATTGTCTTCTGGCTTTGTGGAGAATAACTCTCTACTGTTTAAATGCCTGGTACTGAAAGAAAACTCAAGACTGATGGTGCCCTCCTGTTAAAAAAAAAAAAAAACAAAAAACCAACAGGTGATTTTTCATACAAATCCATTCCTGTTTCTTCCCTACCCCATAATCTTGACCGTGAACCGGTAGGTACCATCAGTTTTTAATATACAGCTAGTAGGAACACAGCCCTGCCTGTTTATTGATAGTAGCCATATATTGTCAGATACTGATCTTATCTGCCAAAAGCTTTTCAGAACTGTCTCGGTGACTGTGACAGAGGACCACAGTATTTCTGTGATTCTGTATCTAGAGCTTAAAAACAAAACAAAAATAAAAAAAAAAATGATAAAAAAAAATAAAAAAATAAAAAAGGAAGAGAAGGAATAAGAAACTAGCGAAAAAGGAATACATGTTAATCTGTTTCCCCATTGCTGGGATGTGAGGCCGGAGGGAGAGGGCTCGAGTGGCCACTTGGTACCGGTGCGTGGAGGAGTGGGGCGGGAAACTTCTGCAGTTCTGACCTCAGGTCAGTCAGAAATAACTAGCCGGAGTGTCATGAGTGGAAACCTGGTTGAAGTGACAGGCAGCTCAGTTCCTGGGACTCTATTTACATATGTTTAAAACAAACAAAAAAAGCTGTCTTTGTTCCTCGGGAAAATCTATTTACTTGGCATTCAGCTCATGTATAAGCTGGAACTTTTTTCATGGAAGATGTAGAAACAAAGCAACTGACATTTGTGCTTTGATGTGAGGCTGAAGCTAAGATTTGATTTTGAAATATGAAAGTAAACTGAAACTGCCTCCAATTTAAAGGTGGGCTTTTTTGTAATGACCTTAAAAGTTTTGAGAAGTTTTTTTTCCCTCCCCTTAGGGACCAGAAGAAATTATAACAGTAATCTTACTTATAGCTGTAAGTCTACAGAGACAGTGACTGTAGGTTAATGAAAAATTGACACTGCTACTTGCCTGTGCTTCCAGCAGAATTTTTTTTCTTCAAACTGATGTGAACTGTTGCACTGCGTGAGTTGGTTATGAGTCTCACATATTAAATTGAATGCTGCTTTTGTGGAAGCTACAGGAGTGAGTCACAGCTGAATGTTTTGAACAACATTCGTGTTTTGAACAGATGCAGCAAAAATTATGGGTTTCTTAAAATGGTTACCCTGGTCCTCCCCACTCTGCACTCGGAAATCAAGCCTGCTGTGTCAGTCTAAACCGGAAGGTGGGCAGAGGAATTGTCCCCCGTGAGCTCCATCCCAGTACTGAATCCGGAGTGCTTCAACCCAGCCTGAGAGTAGCCCAGGGGAGAAACCTCACCACAGAGCAGTAACCCAGCGTTGCAAGTGCAGTTGCTCTTCTGTGTTGTTCAAGTGCCCTCCCCAGGAACATTTCTGCGGTGTCTTTTGGGACAGCTTGTTTCTTGTTCCTGGGAATCGTGCGCAGAAGTGGCGTGAACTCAGCAGCTCAGGCTGACTTTGGTTTGTACTCTGACAACTTAATATCTGTTTGTTGTCCTTGGCATGGTGGTGCCATCTGGTCTTGCTTGGACAGCTTATCTGTAATATTGCACTGCATGATATTTCAGTTTTTGCTCGTGAAATCTTGGGCTGTGCTTGAATGGCACACCGATACCTTGGTGCCAGGCTCTGGCCAGATGGCACATGCTTAAATAACATCCCCCCATGTGCTGTGTTGGAGATGGATACTCAGAGCTGTTGGAAATTGCATTTGAGACAAGAGGAGGAAGGCCTGAAGATGGTTTCAGGTATTAGATGGGATCTCAGGTCAGAAATAAAAGAGCTGTTGGGTGTCCACAGAATTCCCTGCTCCCCTTGTGAAAGACTTTAAACCTACAACAGACTCTGAAGAGTGCCCAGTACTTGGGTTGAGGGGCTGTTCTAGGGCAGAAGCATTCTTCATCTCTCCTGTAGGAGTTTCAAGACCCATCGGGTCACAAAAGGTGGAGAAAATGCATGACTGAGTGTCAGGGCACACTTGGAAAAAGGCAGAGTTGTGTGCAGTGAAACCTGTGACAGTGATGGGCAGCATCCACAAGGATTCCTCCTTGAGCATTTCTCAACAAGGACATCTGTATTTTGGAGTTCCCATCTCCACTGGGGGAGAAGGTTGTGTTTGGGTGGTGAGGAAGTCGTCATCTTTCACTGATCTGAAGAAGTGGAGATGTCAGGCAGTGATGTTTCCTTGCAACCCTTTGCAGCCTGGGAGGGTGCCTTCATCGCCGTCGCAGTACCACTGTGCTGGGGCAGCAGCTCAGCAATTGGCTTCTGCACTCATGGTCACCGGCTTCAGAGGAGGTTGTGCGGAAATCTCCAATTGTTCTGACACCAACACTTTACCAACGCTAAAAAAAAAATCACTTTCATCTATTGTTCCTTGTACTGCTTTCACAACACACTGTATATCGCTCTGGCTGCTCGGAGCAAACAAACGAAAAACTGTTCATGCCTGGCTTTGGTGAACCACCGAGGTTGGATAACACCATCCACATTACACTGGTAATAGTCTGAAGTGGGGAAAATAAGCATACCCCATTAAATGTATATATGGGGCTGAGAGGTGAGAGGCCTGAATTTGTTTTCTGTATCTGCTACATTTATCTCTTGCCACTTTCTTTTGGCTTTATATCCCCCTTTTTTGCCTTTCCATGATTACAAAGCTCTGTTTCTCTGCATGCACCATCTATGATTTTTATTTATGTGATGTAAGTTCATCACAGACAACTGCTTAATGTAACAGAAGAGGCTTGATGAATTCCAGCAGTTGAATTCTGCTGGAGTGAGATGCAGTCACAATACAAATAAGGTGCGGCTCCTTTTTTGTTTGTTTGTTTGGGTTTGGGTTTTTTTTGTTGTTGTTGTTGTTTTGTTTTGTTTTGTTTTTTTTTTTTAATGTAATGCATATTTAGCTTTTAGAGCACTTTAACCAGAAACTGGTTTCTTTTTTAGCTTGTAGTCTGTATGCCAGGATTGACAGTTGTGCTAAAAGAAACATGGCTAAGCTGGCAGTTGAATAAAGAAATAAGCAGGGGTGTTCTGCCATACATGTTGTGGTTATTGCTCAGTCAAAGATCACAAATTCTACCAGTGAATGTTAGGTCAAAGTAGATTAGACATTTTAGAAGCTCAGAGTCTGATCCTACTTCAGTTTATATGGCCTGGACATGTGCAGCCTGAGCTCTCATCACTTAACAAACTACAGAGTGTCCCCAAAGTGACTGAAGAAACAGCTCCAGCTTAAACAGAGGGACAACTAGCTAACTCACTAGCATTTACTCTGCAGACAAGCCAAACCCTGCTTTGGGGCTACATTCAGGCTTTTCTTATTATTTATAAATTTTTCAAGACCTATGCTACATTGCTGACTTTCCTTTTTAATTAAAAGAAAAATCCAGAAGACTTTGTTATGTAGCAATAAAATGTATGGTTAAATACCAGCCAATTTAGCGAGTATGCTTTTCCTACTCCACAGAGATACAGAAATGCACTCTCGGAAATCCTGTTGCCGATATGTCAGCATTTTGAAACTGCTACAGCTTGAGGTTAGCAGGGTTATTTTCTTTTGTCTGGGTTTTAAACCATTGCTCCCAACCTGCTATGTGGGTAAGATAAGATGAATCCACTGAAGGTAAGAAGTTGACTTTTTTATCTGTAGGAGAAACGTTTCTTGACTACGTAATTCAAAATTGTTTTAAGCAACCTTCTCCTCTCCCCACCGGCAAAGAAGAGGAGTAATTTGCTGGTGTTGGAATCACTGGGACCTGAGAAACAGATAAGTGAGCTGCAGCACTGGGGAGCTGGGGGAAAACACCTTCCAGGCACAGGGCTGGGGAGGGGTGGGACTCCCATTGCCAGAGATGTCACAGCCCAGAGCCAGGCACGTGAGGAAAGCCCTGCAGAGACACGGTGGTTGGGTACCTGCTCGAAAATGGGGCTCAAAATATCAGTTCAAGTGTATAAGCAAAGCAATGCAAAAGCAAAGCTGATACTAAGTTTTTCCATTACTGTTTGCATTAAAAGTAGGAGGGAGGTTCTGATATGTTCTTTGGTGTGTATTTATTGCTTATTGCTATTTTACTCGAAGGGTAGGGAAATTAAGAAGAGAGTGCAGAAGAAAAGAAACTAAACCATGTAAATTTACTGAGTTTGTTTCTTTTCCTCACAGGAACCAGAAGTGCAGGAGGGTGCTGGGACTCCGTCAGCCCACACGTGCCCCCCCCTCCCACAGGTCTCCGTGAGCGTCACCCTGGTGAAGTTTCCCTCCACAGGCGTGCAGGGAGGGCAGAGCTTCCTGCGGGGATGGGAGATTCTGAGCCCAGGTAGGATCCGCTTTAACCCAGAAACCGTGACTTCCAGCTACGATTCACCTGGGCAGATGCCTGTCCGCCTACACCGAGAAGGGTGTGGGCACTGCTCCCTCCTTGTCCCAGAAAACGAGCACAAGGAACCAGAGAAAACATGGTGCCTTGTTTGCTAACTTACTCTCCACCCTGCTAAAATGCGTGCAGTTTCATTTCTTTCCTTTGTAATAAACTGTGCCCACCATAGCGTATATTCTTTTAAATAACATTTTAAAATATTTTCCGGTAAATTAAAGTGATGACATGTTTGTAGGGTTCATTGTTAATTTCATTTCCTTTGGCTCAACCAGCCAGATAAAATGCAACGTTATTAATCTTTGTTTAAAAGAAGATCCTTTCCCGAACAGTAATAAATGATCTTGATAGATTTGTCAGGAAAATGAATGATAATCATTTGCAGATAGACACAAGCCTAGTATGGAAGATTAATAAGACAATGTGTATTGGCATCATTAATAACACCTGCTGCCGATGGACTTGTATATTGGTTACAGCTCTGGGAGCGATGTGTTCTTGTTAGGACACTGCGATCCAGCGCGTGCCGTGAGCAGCGAGGCCGCAGCTCCCGGGCCGGGCAGGAGCGGCTCCGGGGAAATGCTCCCGAGGAGGCCGCGGCCGCCGCACCCGCCCTCGCCTGGGCCTGTCGTCGCCGAAGCCTCGGCTCGGCCGGGCTCGGGCTTCCCGCACGCGTTTCCCCACCTCACCGCTAAAAAAAACTCTTCCGGACCCCACGAATTTGCTCATTCCTTGCTTTTGGGGCCGGGGCTGGGTGGATTTGTCAATAATCGTGGGTCCCCCGGGGGCTCTGCCCTCGCGGTGCGGGCTGAGCAACGCCGGTGGAGAAGCTGCTCCCGGCTCAGGGTGTGCGCTTGTCCCACCTCGTGTATCTCTAGAAAGGTTACCCCAGAGCCTGCCACAGGCATTTAAGCACTTGCGTGTCTTCAACTGACACAGCTTTAGAAAGTACCCCTGCTTCACGGGGTGCACAGTGCGGGAGGAGATAAAGCTCTTCACAGGTGCTGCTTGTGACTGTCATGGGGCCTTGATCACCCCTGTTGGGTAAAAAGTGCTTTATTTTTGCTCTTATAATCACTCCACCTGCAAAGCCTCTTTTGGGGCTTCCCTCTTAAAGCCCCCAGAGCACAGCTGAGCTGCTGCAAAGAGCTGCACGCTCGCAGCAGCGCTCTCGGCCACAGCGTCACCCCTGCAGTGGCAGGGAGACAAAATTCATCCCACCCCACCCCACCCGGTTCTGTCCCCACGGCTCCCTGGCACGCAGGAGTGAGGCTGACGGGGAGCTGCCGCGGTGAGCAGGGTCCCACTTGCTGGAGGGAGGTGAGTGGGAGCTGGGGCTGGAGGGACACCACTTGTTCGAGTGCAACCCATGGGGACATGTAGCATAAAATGGAAATGCTTGAGGCTGGGAAGGGGAGGCCGGGAGAGAGAGAGGGGAAGAGCTGCACGTGGGGGTAGGCAGAGGGGATGGGTGTGGGAGATGAGAAGGAAGGAGCGGAGGGACTGAAATGAGGCGTAAAGTGCAAAGGAAACTCCCCGCCCAGCCCCAATCTTCAACCAGGAGGAAAAATACACTCTCTTTTTGTTTTGATTTTAATTTTTTTTCTGCTAACTATGGTATTTCCCTAGAAAATAGAAGGAAAGGTCAAGATGTTTTGAGACGTCTTTGGATTCTATCAGTAAAATATTTCAGATTTCCCTCCCCCCTCCCCCCCAATGATTCTTTTTTCTCTTATTTTGCTTTAGTGGTTCGAACTAGCATAGTAAGTCAAATAAATTTACCATCGAAATGTGTTTCTCCTGTGGGGCACACAGCTGGCTGCATCTGGCAGTGCGAACGTCTCCATTCCTTCTGTGAGGCAAGCTCAGAGATGCAGGCACATCTCTCAAAGTGCATTACTTTGTTTGTTTAACTGGCATCATCAGTTTAAAGGAAACATCGTCGTCTATGGTCCATGGGCTGAGATGGGGAGGGAAAGAGGTCAGCATCATATATCCAAAGATCAAAACTATTTGTGTCATTAAAAAAAAAGAAAAAGGCTTAGTAAAATTCACTATTCTCTGCAAAACTGAAATTTTCTTAGGGGAAAAGAGCAATCTTAAACATTTAAAAAACTGCCCCAGTATTTTCCATCCTGTTCCACATTGCTTTCCCCACGGCTTTAGCAGATGTGTGAGTCAAAAAAATCCAATAATGCCATTGAGCTAAGTACTGCTGGGGGGCTCTGTGGCTCAGGAGCACGCAGCACCTCGCTGCTCTAGGTGAAGAGGCGCGAGCCCTGGTATTTCTAAATGCATTACAAATGTGTCTGTTATTATTAGACATTTACCAGCTATTAATCACAGCTGGTAACTTGATTTCCTGTAAATGTTTTGAGGCACCCTCTGATCTGGGCACCACCTGCTCGAAATTGCATAATGGGAAGGCAAGACAAGCTCTGCGCCGTCTGCCTCTTCCCGCGGGGATGGACAGGCGACTGATGGGATGCTGATCTCCCTTATTCAAAAGAAATCCACTTTTTCCTGTTAGAAAAAGCAATCACTTGTATTGACCTGCATGAGCACAGCACAGACCCCATCCCACATGGCTGATTCGGTCTCCATCCAAACTGGGGATGAGCAGGGGAACCCAGACCTGGGCTCCCTGTGCCGGTGGGGGTACAAAGCCTTGTTTCTCCTCTCCTTGCTGGAGCACGACTCACTTTCTTCAGCTTTATGGCATTGTGATTCGCCACACACCCTCACCTCCCCCCACAGCCCGTGCCTGGTGGCTTGGAGGTGCCCCTTGGATGCTGGAGTGGAGGGTCACAGCCCTGTGGGTGTTTTTAGCCTTCTCCATCCGAGCATCTTAACCACCAAACAAAGCTATTAAGAGTGGCTACTGCCATCTCTTCCTCTGGAGGTGGTTTAAAAGGTTATGGCCATGCCACATTACATGATGGTACCAAGATGGGTCAGAGAAACCCAGACTTGTCCAAAAAAGGAAGGTCCAGCCTTGGACCTGGGCCAAGGAGGGATATTTATTTTCCCTAACACAGCCAGGTCACTGAGGTCCCAGGGAGACCTTTGTGCGTCAATGCAGGATATATAACCACAATAACCCAAAGTCAGAATTGGCTTTGCTACGAAGGCACCTTTATTGCTGGTAATGCTGTTAAGGGGCAGGATTGGCCCAATGAGTAAACAGGCTCAGGCTGGCGTAAGACCCACTGTCATGCGGCAGAGTGGGCAGGGTGAGGGGGCTCACTGCCAATGCCAACTGGGGGGGTGGGGGTGTAGGGGGTCCAACACAGGTCCTGGGGTGGCTGTGGGAGCCAAGGTTGTCACTGCAGAGCTAATCCAGCAGTCCCACACTAACCCATCTGAATTTTGGCCATATTAAAGAAAATGAAGGTAATGCTCAAGTCTCCTTCCCCACACCAGTGTAAACCAGAAGTCTTTCGGAATTCCTTCCCCTAAGAGCAGTGGTGCAAAGTCAGCCCTGACCTGGTGCATGAGGGGAGAGAAGACCCGGCCATGCCAGAGATGGGCTTCCAAAGCTCAGATCTGAACCTTTAAACCTGGCCCCAGGTCTCCTGACTTGACCCACATGCTGTCCCACACCCCCCCCTGCATCCTGGATGCGACCGCTGTTGAGTCACCTCATCTTATGGCGAAACCAAGCCCCTCAGTCATTTCCAGCAAGTGGTGCCTTGGGGGGGGGGGGGGCTGTGCCAAGATGTGCCAGCTCTTCTGGGGACCATCGCCAGGGTCCCTGCCACCCGATGCTTCTGGATTAGACGTGAAGATGAGGGCTCCTGAGAGAAACCAAAGCCACATGCTGCCTGACCCCACCTCAGCCAAAATATGCCCACAGAAAGACATTAACGGTCAGCAGGAGAATAGCGTTAACATTGCAAACAGTCTTCCACAGGGGCTTTTCCTCGATGCTGGTGAGTCTTTGCTCCAGGGCAGCTCTCTCCTCCGGGGACAGGGTGGGCGTGGGGCCGGTGGACAGACCACAGAACCACAAGTACAGCATTTTCCAGCAGGGAGGCTTGGCTGCTGCAAGAGATGGACCAAAAACATGGGTGTTAGCATCTCGCTGGGACTCTGCTCTCCCTCCTTCTTCTAGTCCGGAGGTGCAGTGACCAGTCTGGAGTGGGGTTTGAGATGCACCTTGGATGGGAGATGGGAAGGGAAAAGAGAAAGCTCTGCCTCAACCATGTACAGCACAGCCTGATTACAGTTGGTTGATTGCAACACAAATCCTTCATTAGTTAATTAACAGACCTCTTTCTGCTCCTCCCTGACCCAGCTTCCATCCACTTTCACAAATTCCTGACAGCATGATGGCCCATTTAGCGATATCCTGGCTTATTTATTACACGTGACATGCCAGGTAAAGCATGTGTTTTAATTGTCAGCCCTGTGCTGTTTGTATTTCACTGGCTGTTCTTCCCAAATATAACCTTCTTTTGAAATGCAGAATGTCATAAGGCCTTGAAAAAGGTGTTACCCGGAAAAAAAAAAAAATCATTAAACTGTCAACTGCTGTGTTTCACATTTCCTTTCCCATCATTACTAATTACCAGAAATACATTTGTTTATGAAAGTCTGAGATAGTTAACTGAACTACAAATTGATAAGAAATAATAAATAATGCTGAATGGCTACATTCAACTTAAACCCAAATTTACTTTATTGGGAAATAAAAAATATTGAGATTTCTTTCACTGATCACTTCTGTTTAGCTTGGCTGTAATTGGTACCAGTGTCCTTTGGACTGACCAGCAAAAAGAATGAATAAAGAAATCTTGTGTATGTGCCTTTCTTCTGAGATGTCTGCTCTATAACCTTGGAAGGTTAAGCTCAAAACCAGAAAGCTGCATTTTTTTAACTGCAGAATAAACCTCCATCCACTCTGAAAAGAACCTGCCTGTGTAGCATCTCCTACTACTGTCCTGTCTCCTGACAGCTCTTGAAGTTCATTTGACTCTTTGCCTTCCTTCTTATTAAATATTCTTTGTAGGGTGCATGGATATTTAAGCCATTTGGGTCTGAGTTTTCACCGTGCCTTATATCCTAAGGGAAGAAGAAAGATACTATTGGCATAATGTAAATAAGAAAATTGAGGCTTGCAGATTTACCCTAGGACATCTGCAAAGTGCACAAATCTGCCCCCGGTGTCTTGTGGTCTCTTCAGACCGTGATGCTGTTTTGATACAGGATGTTACAGCATCACTGGGTGTGTTTGGCCAGCAGAGCCCACACGGGGGTAAGGAGGAGGCATCTCTAGCACATACAAGGGGTTTAACTCCTAGCAACAATGAGGATGGGAAGGGATACCGCTTTTATCTGCTGAAAGTCGAAACTACAGAGCCTGCCATGACTTCCATGGTGCCAGTGGTAGCTGCTGCATTGGTTATGCCTGCAGTAGTGCAATGGAGCTCCTCAAGAGCATCTTGGTGAGACAGACAAATAGATGTAGTGTCATGGCACAAAGTCCCAGAGTCAATGGGGTGAGTGACCTTGTTCCAGGAGCATTGACCTCCACCCGCCCGAGTGGTGTCCATAAGCTAAGGGGTCCAGCACACCATTAAGTGTCCAGGCCTGAAGTGCTAAAATAACACTGTGACTTGGGCAGAACTGGACTGGGGTAGTTCGCAAGGGTAAATACCTTCTTCTAGGGAGGAGAAGAAAAAACATTTTACTGAATGGTGGGTTTTCTTTTTTTTTTTTTTTTTTTCCCAGGTATGACACTCTGCTGAGCCATTCAGAGGATTATGACATGAAGGTAAATGCTAGAAGACATGCTGGGATGGCCAAGAACAGCCACACTTTCATTTGTCATATTCTTATACCTGTAAATACAAGTCCCAACTGAATGCAAGAGATGGCTGCTCATGAGTTTTAGAGAACTTGCATGAGATCTTGGCTGTGGGCTCACATGCACGTGAGCGTGCCTGTTCGCAGGCAGCCGCCCTACCTGCCTCCTCCTTATCGCCTGAATCTCCGCTTTCGACCAAGTCACTCTCTCCGTTGGCTGCATTAATCTGTGCTGCTTCACTCTTGTAATTTTTCAGGTCAATGGCAGGTGCTCTTCTGTGTCTTGTCCACCACGTCAGGCAAGCAAGCTGCAAAGCGGGACAGAGAACAAACAGGTTATTTCCTATCAGTCCCAAACTGGCCTGTCAGTCATTTCCCTCTTTGGGGGTCACATCCAAGATGGTGCTGAGAGACCTGTTCGGGGGTGACAGTTGTTCCCCCACTTTCTCTCACCTCCATTCTGCATGGGTGTCAATACTCTGGAAAAGAAGACTAGTACCATGCAGCTGGACTTGAGCAGCTGAGAGAAAGTACGATTTAAGCTAGTTTCTGACCTTCTATTTTTTTAATTAACCCGTTCCATCCCTGTCTCTACCATGGGTAACATTGAAGAAGCAGCTTCCTATTTGCTAGGCTCACTTGATTGATGTGAAATAATGATGATCTGTGTCCAGAATGGCAGCACTCCAACAGGGAAGGATAATAAAGTAAATTAAAGAAAAAAAAAAAAAAAAAAAAGGGAAGCCAAAATAACCCTCTCTGGATACAGTCATTCACAGACAGCAATTGGACACTCAGCAGAGAAAGCTCAGTCAGGTGTTGGAATGCAGATATGTGGCCATGGGAACACTGGTATTTGATCAGTTCCTTCTCTGGGACATGGGGAGGGACTGGAGGATCTTCTGGGTTGTCTCAGTTGTTGTTTTATAGGAAAAGATAAACCCAATATGAACATTAAATGTACAGTTGGGACAAGCTCCCATCAAACTGGCAACCTGCACTTCCAGATGAGCTTATCTCAGGGCTCTTAGTGGGAAAAGTATCAGTATTTTGTCTGTGCTCTGTGACTGCAAGTATGAGTTCAAGAAGTGCAGCTATGTGGGTGGACTGAGCCATCCCAGTGAATATCAAGTCACAATTTGCAGGAAGGATTATTCCATACATTAGACGAACAGGTGTAGTTACAAGTAGAAAAAAAAAGAGCTAAAGAGCTCTGGGCACACACTGTAAGACTTGCCCATCCAAATGCCTTTTTTCTTTTTTGTTGGCTTTTATCCATTTGGGTTTTAATTCCTTTTTTTTGTTGTTTTTTTTTTTTTTTTCCTGTTGGGCCAATATGTTACCTCTCTTTGCAGTCTTTCAGTGAAAGAACCTTCAAAAGTCATGAAGGATGATCGCTCCCGGACAGGCTGCCATGACTGCAATCTGCTCCGCTTTACAAAAGCAGGAGATCCGAAACTGTTATCCTAGGACAAGTCTGAAAGTCTTCTCCTCCCTGGGACACAGGGAATGCACAGGAGGCACTGACCCTGCAAACCTCACAGTGGTCTTTTTGCAGCTGTGGGGTGGGATTAACCATCCCAGGGGCTCAGGTCTTTGAATTTAAGCCAGGCCTGCTGCTTCTCTGGCCGACCACGGCACACGGAGCGGCTTGGCGGCATTAGCACCCCCTAACCTCAGCGTGCCAGGCAGCGAGGACCGCGCTCATCAACCCCAGCGCAGTGCAGCTGCCCAGGGCCCCGGGCTGGCTCCCGCTCCCTTTGCCGCCAGCGCTGCGGAGGAGCCGCAGGGTGGGCCGGGGGCAGCAGCGGTGGCAGCAGGTCGGGCAAAGTCAGGCACCTGCCTGGTGCGGGGCGGCCGCCCTGCTCTGCCCGTGTGGAAATGAACGTCTCAGATGGGTCACTTACAAAGTAACGTGAGTTTAATTTTTGAATTTTACACACACAGATCTAGGCAGGGGTTTCCAGGTGACACAAAACGTTGCATAATTTCCAGAAGATTTATAGCTTTATTTAAATCATTTTCAACCAAGATGAGCACTGGGCAGGGCTAATCTTTCTTGTCACGATGTGCTAAATTGCTTTGATTTGATGATCCTCATCTTTTTCAAGGATTCCTTTTTTTTTTTTTTTTTTAATCACTTAGGAAATGTCACTGGAACATAGAAAAGTTCCAGGGTACTAAAGGATTTCAGAAACTTTTTTTCTTTCCCTCCTCTTCTTATGTGTCACTGAATGACTGTCTTCACATTGCAGCAAAATCTGCAATGGATTCCCTGGGGCTTAGACTCTGCCAGATGTGAGCAATTCCCAGTTGAAATCAGCATAGACACACAGGTAGCCTCATCACCTATCATCCCATTGACCCACCTAGGAGCTGGTGGTGACCATGGCCAAATAAAGCAAACTACCACTCTGGAGGGCTCCTTGGTAAAGCATCACACCAATGCACCAGCTTCAAGCTCCCCTGCGATGGGTTTTGGCTGGCTGAATGCCTTGAAGTCCCCCTTCGTCCTCTTTGCCATCACCAGAGGGACACGTGTCAGAGCAGACCAGCAGCACTGTGTGGCCACGGGGATGACTACCCTTCCTTGGCACAGACTCTCAAAGGGATGGGGATGGAGGAGGCAGATGATGGCACATGTTTTGCATGGCTGGAGAAAGCAAGCAAGGAGAAGGAGAATTGTTGATGGGAGAGCTGTGTTAGCAGAATTGACTTGGGCCTTGGAAACGCTGCCTGAGGCCACCATGTCCAAGGGCAGGGGAGCGACGGGTAGCTGCTTGGCAGGTCCCAGGGAGCCCTGTGGCTCTGCTCCCCATTGCAGAGCCATGCATGGGCACTGCGTGGGGAGCCCTGTGACCCCCCCTTAGTTTGCTCCTCTGAGTGCCTTGTTCCCACAGGAGCATGCTTTGCTCCCAGTGGCACTAAAGGATGCTGTGGGAACTTCAGAGTGCATGGCGTGGGTTCAGGCCAGCCAAAGAGGTCTCGGGGCTCCTCCTGGGCTATGCGCATAAAGGAGCCATTGCAGCCAGACCTCAAGATGCAGGGAAAACATCTCTGACCCCAGAGAACATCAGATGGAATTGCCAATCCATCAGCCTGTCTGGGTGAGCCCTGACCCCTAGGGAGGTGCCCTGCTCATGTAGCACTTGTGCTTTGTGGGCTGTTCCTCTCCCTTTTGACCCTCACATTCTCCTTGGACAAGGGAGTTTGCAAGAACTCAGCAAAGTTTTTCTTTTGTTGTTTGTAAAGTAGAATAAATCCTTCTGTTCCAAAATGCCATCTGGCACCTGACAGTTGTGTTTCAGCTTCACAGTCTCAAATTTAATTGTAAGCTCTTTTGCAGGGTTTTCAAGGACGACGTGACACAATATGGACTACCTACAATGAAGACATATGAACTCTGGAGCATACCAAACAAATTCCTTGCATACTTGTTTTCCTGCATAGCATCAATCACCACAGGGATGGGAGAGTATCCAAAACAGCAGGAGAAAATGCTACAGCTTGCAGTTCTTGGATTGTAATTCATTTAAAGCCAGGCACATTAGCTGTACCACTCCAACATCAGATACAAATCTCTTTTCTCCTTTTGCCCATTTACTATCTCAAAAACATTGAGATTCAATATTTAAAGTTGTCCAGTGTAGATATTCAGCTGGTGTAAAGCAGCATAACTGTGCTCAACAGCTGTTCCTGGTCTTTGAAGGCAATGGAGCTATGCTGATTTACATCTGCTGAAATATGATCTATCACTATATTTCCTTGGCTTTTTCTTTGGCGGCTTCTTTTTCTTTTCCTTTTGCTTGACAAAATAAATGGCGTAATTCCTAGCTCTTATACAGTGTCTTTCATCATTATATCTCAAAGCACTGCACAGATAAGGGCTAGCAGAACTAACCCCATGCAATTTTTATGGGGGAAATAGGTGAGGGTCATAAAGTGAATTGACCAATGCATGGGACTGGGAAGCACCAGTGCTTCAGATATCCTCAGCCAGAACACCCACCACCAGCCTACCCCTCTCAGCCACTATCATGGGGACATACAGGCTCTTCACCACGGGTTTGCCTGCCTCCGCGCCAAAACCCAGCAAGCCGAGACCACTAATGGCCAAACACAAAGTTCAGGTGCTAGCTTCTACCCAGAGGGTTAGAGCCTGACACATCCATCCTGATTTCTACCTCCTGCCTGTCCTTCTCAGAACCATTCTGTCCTTGAACCATTTCAGCACAGCCACAGACTACCTTGAGGAGACAAGTCCTGCTTGCAGGACACCATGAGAAACCATGCCATGAGGACTGATGGTCCAAACCTACACCTGTGCTCACATCTAGGGCAAAAGTTGGGGGAAGTCTGAGGGAAAATGAAAAATACCAGTTTTAAAGCTGCCCACTCAGATTCATGCCAGACAGAGAGCAACCCGGCAATGTTGGCACCTACCTCAGCTTAAAACCCACGCCTTCACTTTAGTTGTTCTATGAAGAACAAGATCAGGCCTCTCCTGTTGAAATTGGGGATAGATAATAGAAATTTAATGGAAATCAGACTAAAACAGAATAGGGGCAGACTGTCCCATTCCCACCAAGCTATGGGAAGAAGGAATTAACTACCACTTTGTGGCACAAATTGCCTGGTAGCCCATCTCATTTTTCTTGTGGTGGGAAGATACTGAGGGGGCACATGGGCCATGGACAGTCATCACCATCATCAGATGATTGATCTGGGTCTCTACGTCCAGCCCTCTCACTGTCACAAGTAGTATCATTAATTCTCATTAATTTTCTTCAACAGAAGCTCTTATACAGGGATCAAGCACTGAGCTCAGCACTATGTGAGGTCCATAGCCTACCAAAAGGTTATCCTGAACATCCCTCTTTAGAAAACTTCCCCAAAAAAGCCTGGCCTAAGTTTGTTCATGGTCAGCACTGTCCTTTAGCAAGCTCTCCTCCCTCCCTGGCTCTCCAGATGTACCTGAGGAGCCAGCCAACACCCCTTGTCCTTTACTCCTCTGGGATAACTGCACACAGCTGTTTCAGACAAAATCATGTCCTCCCCAACCTTCTCATTGGCTTTTCTCCCTAGATTGCTTCCAGTCAGAATCTACCTTTTCAGAGCATTGGCTTTTTGAATAATATGTCAAATAAGGTCCCTTAAGTCCAGCACCTATAAACTCACCTATTTCTACTGAAAATCTCCTCTAAGGGCTCTCTTATGTTAATAATCTCTCTTGCCATGATACTATTATAGTAGGTCTTCATCCCAAACTCCCCCTCTTAAAATGTGCTTTAAATGTTTTTATACCTCTGAGGTCAGACTAAAAAGCCTGTAGGTGCTGTGGCCAGTTTCTTCATTTCCTGAACTGCTGGTATGATGTTCACTATTTGCCGGTGCTATGTTAATGCACCTTATCTTGCTATTGCTGTGGGCAGGGAGCACTGCACATGTTTAGTTATCACAGGTCAGATGATGAGTGGGAACTCATTAAACCACAGTAATTAATTGCTGGCAACCATCTGGCCACCCCTGAGCAGTAGTGAACAACGTAAGCAGCAGAACTAATGGTGCCTCCTTGCCAGTATTTCTCTCTCCCGTGTGGATCCTCTGATAGCTAATAAAAGCTCAGACTTTATCTCAAAGCAGACACAAAGACAGTCTCTCTCTCTCCCCCTCCCTCTCCTCTATCTGAGCACCTGCTTTCATGTAATCTATAGGAGCTGAGTATCTTTGACACCACTAACGTTCAATCAAACATTGATGGAACTGGTTAATGCTTTACAAGTTATGAGGAAGCAACAGATAGAAAGCACTATGATGGCATCACCCTCATTTCCTCATGCAGTTAGACAGGAAATAAATAGGTCTTTAAAAACTATCCACTAACCTTTGCTTGGAGGTAGGTGGCAGTTCTGTTATGTTGACAGCTGCTTTAAAACTTGGGACTGGGAAGAGTTGCTTTAAGTTTTTATTATATAAAGCATCCCAACTCTGCACCATTTTAATGAGTTAAGTAAAAGAAAGTTGTGCCTGACTCAAAGTTATTAAATGTAATTGTGATCACATTGGGACAAAATGTTATTTTCCTAAATGCCCATGTTGCAAAAGGTATTAATCTTGTTTGCCTGCAAGATTGATGCTGGCTCTTCAGAAACAGGGTAGGTACTACAATTAGATATATTTAATTCTTCCTCAGTAGTGCTCTGTAATATGATTTCATCTCCTTCCCCTTCTTTTTTTCTTTCTATTCTAGTTGTGATGGGCTGTGGTGTCTGCCCAGCTCTAGGCACAGCATGGGAACTCACACTCAATTTCAAGCACTCAGTACCTCAGGAAGCATTAACACTATGAGACCCAGCAAATAGAAAGCTGAGTTGCAAGGGCTTCTTTGCAGCATATGCATTACACACCATTTCTTAACCATGGGAGGAAAAGAAAAGGACAGATTTCAGAGATTTTTGGAAACCAAACAGGGTCTCTGAGGAAAGGGTGCCACTACAAGTCACTTACCTTTTCTTCAGGGATCGGTGGGGTACAGAGACTAATAAGGACAATGACAATTGCAGTGAGGACACAGAGGATGAGGGCAAAGTAGAGGTAGTGCACGTCCTTTAGCATGGCTGGTCTTTTGTCCTCCTCACCACAAGATGGTGTGCTATAAATGAACTCGATGATCATCCGAACAAGACCAACAGCTAACCCAACCATGAGGCCCCAGAATGCACCCTAAGAAAAGGTAAGCATAAAGAAAAGGTCACCACATGTTACCTTTGGTTGAAATTTCCTTCCCTTTCCCCTTCCCTTCTCTTTCTTAGACCAAGACCTTTTATGCCTGATGGAAACCCACACTGACATGCATTAAAGGAGGATGTTTTCAGTTAAAAATCCTCACTTTCTCTTTCTGCCTTTGAACATGAAACAGATAGAGCACAGACAATGCAAGAGCATCCTCCTAACAACATGCCTCCAACTAGACTTTGACGCATCACCCCTAAAGTGTGGAACAATTTTGCCTTTCATGCTTTCAGACAAGACTGCCAAGAGGTACCACTTGCAATGGCTTCTTGGAAGCAAACACACATACACTAGAGACTGGGCTAAGATCCACTAATGCATGCCAGGGAAAGGCTGTGTAATTGTCACACTTTAGCTGGACTGGCTTTGAGTTTAAAGAGTCTCAAAGGCTAGGTACCGAGAGGAGAGTTACTTATTTATTTTATCAAATTAAATATGTGTATCAATTGGTTGTTGACACTCCACTTACAGGCTCGTTAATCCTCTTGCAGAAGATTGCCAACATGAAGAGAGCTGTTATTGGTGGGGCTAGATAGCTGGTTATGGACTGAATGTAGTCAAAGAGCTTGCCACTGTTGGCTGATTGAATGATCGGGATCCAGAGAATACTGATGACCACAAGGATGAGGATAAAGACTCTGGAAGATGAGGATAAAATTGTATTAGATTTGCAGATGGTGGTGTCCACCTGAAAATGAAGTTTTGCAGCAATGCACACTTACAATTGCTCTCAGAATTTCCTAATTAAAAATCCACAGATCACTCTCGGGAAGAACCTTTCCCTGTGTACACAGGAAAAGAGAAAAATTCTCTCTTCTAGAAAGTCAGTTCAACCAATTCCCAAAGCTACCTTCACAGATTTCAGAGGAAGTTGAGCTAGAACCTATCAGTCAACATCTATGAGAAATCCACAGGGGCATGGTGGCTCCCACTAGCATCTGGATCAGTGCAAGCCCTTCAACATGGTGTGTCCTAGAGAGTGACATGTTTTCTGAAAGTCTAGCTCTTCGATGCAACAGAGAGGGGGATCTGGAAGCCTGTGGAAGCAATCTTTCTGCCACCTTTCCAAGCAGATAACATTCTCAGTCTAGTGTCTTTGCCAAATTCCAACTCATTTGCTGCTTATTAAAATTGTTTCTGGGGTCTTGGATGCATACCATAACCCTCCTCTGTCTTTTCACTATATGCTAGAGAGTTTTCTCCATATTGCTGAACAAGAGGTACTTCCCCTCTCACTACTCTACATTGGTGGAGTATGAGATTGCCTGCAGCCTTCAATGACCCCACAGCAAAGTTTAGAACTTAATGCTCATGACTGGAGAGAAAAAGCACCACAAACATGCAGAATGCAGCTTAAATTCCACTATCAAGAGGAGAACTTTATATGCCCCTGATATAATGCAGTACCAAAGCTTTCTCACAAAGGACACTAGAACTTATCACAGAGACAGAGAGCTGGGAGGCCCAGCTCTTTGCACTTTTCCCTGAAAAGAGGAGTAATTGCGATGTATCACTCCTGTCTGATGCAAAAATAACACGTTCTTAAAGACCTCTGGTGACAGTGACTCCAGAGCACTTTTGGATTTTCTAGAAGTTACATTTAAGGCACTATTTATGTTAAGTTTAGAGAAGAGAGAGGCAATGATCTAACAAGCTCAGTAGCACACTCGGTGTTCCTTTTTGACCAGGTCTACCTGAGATGAAGCTGAAAAATGTAATGTTCTTTCCCAGTCTATAGTCCTGCACTATATTTTAGGCACCAGATTTTTCTCAGTGAATTCAGATTGAAGAATGTAAATTCTGCACTCAGATGATGAGAGCAGTGAGACATAAAGAAATGTAAGGACCTGCCCACAATCATCAGCTCCTGCTCTGAAGCCTTTCTGCGGATCCGCTGCCAGATGTCTATAACGAAGAGAGTGCTGCTGCTGTTGAAAATGGAGGTGAGGGAACTCATCAAGGCTGCCATCATCACGGCAATCATCAAACCCCGGAGCCCTGGTGAAGCAAAAAAGGGAAGGAAAATCAGGACTAGACCTTAGGCCTCTCAGCACCAGTTTTTCATCCCGATGTCTGATAGCTGCAGCAAGATTTCCTCATAATTTAAATGGATAAGGGAAGCCTGATCCCCCCATGCAGAGCATGGCTCAAGACCATCTCCACAAGTGTAAAGGTTTCTCACCATCAGGCATGAGTTCTATCACGAGTTTGGGGTAGGCAATGTTAGAACAACCCACTGCAGCTCCACAGACCCTTTTACAGATGTCTGGATCCACACAGCCCACTTCATCTGCAGAAGACAAGAAAATAACAAGAAGTCAGTGTAAACCCCATTGAGTCATAGGTTGTTTAATTCAAGGGAACAAATCTTGATGCCTTGTGCAGTTTCGTATAAATTCAGAGGTGCAGCTGGAATACATCTAGAATGAGGGGAGCTGGAGAACATTTTACATCATAAAATAAAGGTGAAACTTTGAGATGACATTTTGCAATTCTATTCAGGGTACAGATATAACTCTCCTGGATGTTGCATAACTGTAATCCTTGATGATTTGTCGTTTGTGGGAACTGGACCGTTTCCATGAACCTGTCAGATGGGTTACAAAGACTGTTTCGGGCTAACTTACTCCTATTTGAGGAAATCTGGGAGAGAGTCACTTTCCTCCAGGAGTGGTCCTCCTAACCGGGTATTCTTCCTGGGAAGCGTCATGCTCTGGAGGAACAAGTCATGAGAGCTCCTTGGGAGACAACAGGAAGGCAATGGTTGCTCTTTCACAAAAGAGGGTTGTTTTGCATAATCCACCAGGAATCAAATGAATCTGTGCAGTCGATTGCTAAAACTCTCACCGAATATGAAGCAAAAGTAATCAATAGGACCTGAAGGACAATCTCAGTGCTCTTTGAATTTCATCGCACTGACTTCCTCCATATACATAGATGCATGCAATGTCCACAGCATGGAAATATATGCCCATAATGGCAAAATATGCCCCATATGGATACTCCCAGTGACTTCTGCCACTGTGGGAGAAATGGAGGTAGAGGAAGGGCATGGGAACACCATTGTACAACAGGAATCTATATGCAGGACAGCAGTTTCTGAGATGTAAAAGTGCAGGTGGACCCGTGTGGGATTAGGGGTCATGGCAGGTAGAAAGACCTGTGCAAGGAACATGGGAAGGCTCACCTGGGTAAAGAGCTCTGCTGATCATTCCTGGCATGACAATGAAAAACATAGGGAAGATCTTCAGATATCCTCCCAGCACCGATCCACCTTTGGCATGGGAGAGGTTCTTGGCAGAGAGAGACCTCTGGACTATCACCTGCAATCAGTGCAGAAAGGAAGCAGAGAGTAAAACAGAAGCACAACAGAGAGCAGGATCCATCCTCTCTCTGTCTCTCATTCTCATCAATGACTTTCATCCAGCAGGATCCCAGGGCGGTTTTTGCATGCCAATGGCAACTTTCCCATCACAATTGACTGCAGCCTGCTGCCACTGCTCAGAGCTCAGTGCACAGGCTATAGGAGAGGGCAGTGTGGAAATTTCCTTTACAGGAATCATTTTGCCCTTGACTGAAATTAAGCCACCTTGAAGACTGGAGACAGAAGCTGTACAGCAGCAAGAGACAAGGAATGAAGCAGACTGTATGTGTTTTGGTAAAAGTTCAGTGATGGGTTTTCATAATTATCCCATCTTAAAGCACAAAAGCACCATGTCTTGAGAAACAAATACAGTTTTCCTTGTTTCTTGCTTGGAAAAGAATAAGAAACATGAGACCTCTGGGAATATGAATGGCTTGTCTGGAGGTCTACACAAGGTCATTGCAGATCCAGCTCCAGATCCACATTTTCATATCTTTGTCACACTAACTGTATGAAGACACCCAGTACTCACCAGCTCGCACTGGGATAAAGACAGGAGAAAATAACTTGCCCTCTCTGCACTAAGAAGTGCACAAAATTAGCAACTTGCTGAGAAGGTTGGGAGGAGTGAACTATTCTGGTCTATATCAGTAAAAAGGTAGTAACTCCTGCACAGTGAGACACAGTCATGCTTCAGAGCTCACAGATCCACAAACCGGGGAGTGGACTGTAAATAACAGTATGGTGGTTTACCTGGAGAGGGAAAGACTTTCTTTACCTGGTCAGTGCACCAGCACCAAAGAGCCAGCACAGAGAGGCCAAATATAAGGCCAGGCCAAGGAATGTCTCCTGTGACTGGATCCCTGAACAAATGAAAGGCATCTGCACGTGGGATGTGACAGGTTGTGTTTGGGACTATGATCTTCGGTATTGCTGTGCTGTATTTCTCCTGAAGTCCCTCATACCAGCCAACTTTTTCAAATCCTGAAAGGAAAATGCCAGTGGTTTAAGGTCTGGTGCTCCCTGCAAAGTTATTTCCTTATCTGAGTCTCATGATTATTTTTTTTTTTCTCTTACCATCCTCTCATCTCCTTTCTTTTCATTCCACCCTTGCTTTTGGCAGTCAAGATTTTTACAGGAGTCAGTTTGATCTTGCCCAGAGTCCTTGTGGTTTACAACACAGCACCATGGAAGAGGATCGGTGCAGGAAAACCTCCATGATCCTAATCCCCACAATGTCCTCAGCATCTAGTCTCTGCTCACACACCCTCCAAGAGCTGGAGCAGGATGGTATGACATGAAACAAGATATATCTATATTTCTGTTTGCCAAGAAGGCTTAAAGCAAAGACTAAGGATGGTCAGTTCCTTGTTGCTTTTTTATTTTTTTATAATCCTCAATTACACCCAGATGAATCCACAGTAACTCCCAAAGTCAACATGGAATGTCAACAGAATCACTCTGAATTTACATGAGCATAGTGAGAGCTGAATTTGGCTCTGGGAATGCAGTGTTGCAAGTTCTTTGGCAACTCCAGGTAAACCTAAACTTGCAAGGTGAATTTATGCAGAACCTCACCTCCATACATTTAGTACAAAGCAAGTCTGACTAGTTGGCAAATGAGAGTTGTGCTGACACCACTTCTATGAGTGGTTAAAACTCATTTCTGTACCATACGTGAAAGAGTGAGGTACCCTGCTAAGGTCTAATGACCTTAGGACCATTAAACTAGTGTATGACTGCAGGTTCCCCTCACCTATGAACATGAGGACCAAAGCTCCCAGCACCATGATCAGGGTCTGCAGCGCATCTGTGTATATCACAGCCGTTAAACCGCCTGTCAGGAGAACCAGAGACAAGAGGCAGAATGCATCACCATGTACAATGAAACCGGTACCTCACCTGCCAAAAGATTTTCCTTGGTCCCAGCCCTGTAATTTCAGGACAGACCCGTTGGGAGAAGATGGCACTGAGCTGGTCCCCAGGAGCCCATGGCTCTCAGAAGCCTGTTGGTGAGGAATGGCTGGAAGAGCTCGCCCATGTTCATGAGAGGACTGTGAGGCAATTCGGCATCTTAATATCTAAAGATGCTAATGTTGCAAAAAGAGAAAAAAAAAGAGCAAATACGGGCAGTGGTAGCTATCTTTACAGAGGGAGCTGAAAGCCTTCTGTAGTGTTAGAAAATTCTCTAGAAAACAGTGATGTTCCCCCCATACCAGTTTCCCTTGGGCCAGGAGGGGAGATGGGAATAGCCAGAGGTCTCCAACAGCTGGGAGTGACGGGGCAAGTACTACCAGCAACCAGGGGAATCTCTCCCTCAGACCAGGACCTGAATATTTTCCCCTATGTAAGAAAGGGGAAACTTTTATCTTAGGCTCCAGTTTATAATGTTTCTTTTAAAATCAGCTATTTACCAGCTATGGTGTAGACAGCAGTCACTGCTAGCAAGACCACAGTGGACAGGTAGAGGTTCCAGCCCAAAGAGATTTGGATAAACAATGCTCCGGAAAAAATGTCTGTCTGGAATAAAAAAAAAACAAGGGCAGTCTGGTGTTAGTAGTGCTTCGTGCAAGTGAAATCTAATAAAGCAGCCTGCAGCCCTCTGCAGCTGAAAGCATTGACAAGGGAGGACACCGTGAAGGTGAAGTAGAGGAGGAAGAGAGAGCATGGGGTTGTTGGCTGTGAACCTTCCTGTTCTCAGTGTGAGGAAAATCTTTCCTCCAGGTCAAAGCTCTCATCATCTGGGAGCTGGGGCAGCAGGAGGTTGAAAATCCAGGTCCCACACCAAAGAACTACAAAGCAATTAATCTTACAGGCAGTCTTCATGGCATGTAATCATCACTGGCAGAGACAGGTATTGGTAGAAACTGCCACTCCTTTTGCTGACTGTGAAGACATCTGTGGGGAGCAGGAGCCCATGTATCCACAGGCAGACACAGGAGGGAAAGAGGGGACAAACAGCAGAGACCACATTCTACCCAGGACTATATCTTGGTGGCCTTGTGGCCAGGAGACATTCCAGCTTGAAAGACCCCTTAAGAATCACTGATGTCTTGTGCCATGATTTATTTGTCTGAAAAGGTCAAGAGTTTGCTTTTCTAGCCATGCAGTTCAGCTTACTACAATGACTCCAGAAAAACAGGTTATTCCTGCTGAGGACCTCACTAGAAACACAGAAACCCCCACTGGCTTTGTTTTGTTTGGACCTACTGACAGAGAGAGTGAAACCAGAATCTGGGTGAAACCTGGAATTATACAGATAACATCATTCAGATGCAGAAGGTGGTATGGGAGATGTGTATGTTGGCAAACCAATCTGAAGGACACCTGCAAATCTGATATGGGTTGAGATACAGGTAAAGACATTTGCCAAGGGAGACAGAAGGGATGGGGCAAGATTTCTATTTGCTGTGCCCAGAATAAGCACCTTATAAGCAAACACCCAGTGCAACTCCTGACCTCTGCAGCCCTGAGACAGGACAACCTCTGTCAGGACACCACAGGAGCCACTGTGTCTTCTGTTTTTTCCCTTCCTATTAGGAAATACAACCACCCCTGTAGCCATGCAGGATCAGTCCTTTGACAACATTGTTTATTGACATCTCTGTTTTTCTTTGCAAGCAGGGAAGACTCTGCAATGTCCTAGTTGCTAACCTGTGTTTGGGCAAAAAGCACAGGGAGAAAAATCCTTCTTATAACCAACTGCCTGCTGTCCAGCCAGCCGCTAAATGAGCTCTCTACAAACAATGGCACTGCTTAATAGAAAGCACCTGTCATGCCCATAAACTCCACCGGCCACATCCGTCAGCCACGCGTGAATTAGCTGCACAGAGGAGAAACCACTGAGATGAAACCGCAGTGAGTGAGGCCAGGGTCCTGCTCTGAATGGCACTGGCAAATACTGCTCTGCTGAAGGTCATTTTGAAAGACTGGTGTGTTTCCACCACATACATTGAATGTGTAGCTGTGCACACTGTGGTGCTGTTTGCAGGAGAGAACTTCCATTCCAATCCTCATGGGGGAGGAGGCTTCAAATGCCTCTTTGCGAGACCTCATGCTGGACAATGCTTCAATCCCACAGAGCAAAGCTCCTGGAGGCAGTGGTGACAGCAATGGGTGACATGACCAAGACCTGGCCATCAGAAGAAGAAATCTATCCCATACTCCCAGCATGGAACTCCTCTAAATGCACCTCCCAGGACCTGAGACGTAGTAAGCCTGGGAGAAGGACCCTGAAGCCAGCTGCAAAAGGCACATGGGTGCCTCATTTCCAGTCAATGTCTTCCAAGGCATTTTGACGTCTAAGTACTTCAGTAGGATCTAGTGAAAACTGACTTGTATTGGCCATGGGACAAGCAGCTGTAATAAAAAGGACAGACATTTTCAGTCCCTGTAATGGACTCTGAAATACAGTCCTCACCCTCCAAGGGAACGGGTAGTTCTTAGCAAATCTCTGAGTGTAAGCTCTGCCCCTTTATTAATGGCATTTAAATGAAGGGAAATACCCAGTCACTTATATGGCTTTTTGGCTACCAGCAGGGTACAATGTTACAGGAAATCCAGAAAAGATGATGAGTTTTGTCTTAAGCCAGAACCTACCTCCCTTTCACCATACCCCTTTTATACAACACAAGTGACAGAAAGAGAGAGGAATAACCATAACATACCTAATGCTGAAAACTCAGCTACAAAGCAACAGCAGATTTATGATAATTTAAGAGAATTTCACATCTTGTAGATACAGCCAACTAGATCCTCAGATGGGGGTAATGCTGAAGTTCCCATGTCTATATTGCTTAAGGTGTGATCTAATAGAAGAAGAAAAGCAGGCAGACAGCTTATGGTATTTGTACCATTTAGTAATTAGCTGCCATATCTCTGTAAAAAGTTCTCACTGTGCATTGCTCGTTTAAAGAGGGCTCTATCTCTTAGGATAGGTCTCCATGATCAGTACAGAGGCAGGTATTTAGTTGAGCAAAGCAGCACACTAACACACTGCTACCGTTTCTGGTAGCTGAGATGGTCCTTTCAAGGACATCTGAGTTACCTCTGAGCAGCCCTGCATTGTACCAGGATGACCTACCCCTGCCCTAGACATAAGAGTTGCGTTCAGTTGGATACATACGGATATCTTGGTGAATATATAGAGAATGAGGGACAGTACGGACATGTATATTTGAATCCTCTGCCCTCCAAATCTCTTCTGCAGGTACTCAGGCATGGTGACCACTCCTGCTGCAATGTAAACAGGCACAAAGATCCAGCCGAGAGCCAGAAGTGCCCAGGTAGCCTGTTAACGAGACAGAGAAAATAAAAGCACATCATTTAACACACTGGAACATCTTTCTCCACTGTTTTTTCAGTGGACATCCTAAGAAAACAGAAAGGTACAGTGCCATGCAATATATTTGGGAAGCAGTCTGACTTTTTCTCCTTGCTCAGAAGATGGGATGACAAATGGAGGAATTATTACAATACAGTTAGAAGCTTTTGAAGTTATCCTCCTAAGCCCTGTCTCTGTCATGGACGGCACATCCTGTTCCATCTCCTGGTCTTTTGGGCAAGATGGTGTATTCTGTTGCTCTGGATCTCTGCAAGATGGTGCTGTATTCAGTGGCCTTTGAAACCACTGATGCTGTGGTAGTGAAGAGTTAAGTGATTCAGAGGAGGATGGGAGCATCTGTTTGTTGCTTGATTAGCAAGTGATGAGGCTGAGGCAGCAGACTGTCCCTGCGGAGCATAAAAATAAGCAACAGCAAGACTCTGTCGGGATGTTCTCCTTGCAGGCTGACGCAGATGTGCTTCTGTTACTGGTAGATAAAGGGGCAGTTCAGTTGCTTTGCACAGGTAAAAGGTCTTTTGGAAGGTGTAAAGGCATGTTTCATCATGTCTTCTCTGAAACCCAGCACAAGCCCAAACAGGAAATCTTGAACATAAATAAAAGCCATTGGACTATCAAACCTCACCTCCTGGCTGTCTCAGGCCATTACCTTCCATCCAAGTACCTTACATCAGTCCAGATTTTACTTTGATTGGCTATTTAAGTTATCAGAAATGAAACTGATCCCTGTGAGCAGAGATTGTGAGTGATGAAGAACAGCCATGGCTCCTGAAGTGGCAGATACTGGTTTAGCTAAAAGATGATCATATGACCCCTGCAGCTGAGTGATGTTCCATGAAAAAGGGAGAGAATAATGGCATATCTAAGGCCCCTTTCCAATCTGAAAGAAATGAATCTAAACTCATAAAGTTAGATTTGCCCTGACACAATCTTGTCTTCACAGGCTTCTAAAATGACTTGAATAAATTTACTTAAAGTACAGTGTATTGGTATGTCCTACATGCACCAGGCTGAACACAGGCTCTGGTTTCTTCATGAAGGACTTAAAGGTGATCTTAAAGATTTAGAAAAAGAAACAGTACAGTGAATAGATATCCCAGGAAAGAGCATTTGGTGGGACCTGCCTGTGCTTGGCAAGTATCCGACATTATTATCAGTCTCTGCTGAGATAGACAAGAGATTTAGAGTTAGGTGAGTGATGTTTATTGTGAAGCTGGCACTAACCTCACCCCTCATTACTGCAGCTGAGAAATTTCATTAGCATCACACACAAAGGGCCTGGTTTTCATGCTCTGGGTGGTGTCAGTGGCAATTTTCCAGGCCACTTCAATAGGGCAGAGTAAGACCTGCCTTCACACCCAGATGTTCACTCCAGAGATGTTACATTTTGGTGGATGACAGGTGAATGCAGTATTGCCAATTGTGATTGCTTTACACTGAATTTAGGAGCACATGCTGCTTTTTTTCAAATTCCCTGTACCCAGAATCCTGTGATTATCCAAGTACATTTTCAGCATTCATTATCTTCATGAGTGCAGATTAAAGCTTAAAAATATGACTGTGTGCTTCTGAGAAGGTCAAAGAGCTAATAATTTTAGTGGATTCCACTTAAACTAAAATAAAGATCTCATGTTTTTAAGGTTGTCTGTATAACTGGAGGCTTCTCTCCTGAGGCTTGAGAACCTGTGGTTGCCAATACTGTTAGCATTTGATTTTGGATACAAGCACTCACTCCCTTTGTAAACAGTGACATATTAGTTAACAACATAACAACTCTTACGTTCCACTCAAAGCCCCCAACAGCAAGGCCCCCAGCTGCTCCAGTGCCCGCCAGGCCGATGAATAAGCCACTGCCCACGTTGCTTGACATCAGCGATGCTCCAATCTGAAACACATGGCACAAGCACAAAACCCAGAAAGTCACCTTGAAGAACTTCTGTATCAACCCAAGCACTTTCTTCAGGAACTCTCTTTCCCCAGGGCTTCATCTTCTTGTAGGTAGGTAGCTGGGTGCTAACGGGGAGTTGGGTATTCCTACTTCTTTTAAAGAAAACTATGTTTTCATATCACATGTTAAAATGTGTGGGTCTGCTCCCTTCCACTGCCCCCACTCGAATGAATATCTTAATCTCAGAATTGGGGTTCACTTTGTCAGTGGTTCTCCTGAGACACACGCCTGTTATGGGGAATACAGTGGTGTGAGGGAAGTCTGGTCGGAGCCACAGATACCTCGGTGTCAGTGAAATGTGATGGACTTCTCCATTCCCTTCTTACTCAGCCAGCAACTTGCCTTCTCCAGCCTTGCTGACCCTTGCTCTACCTCTCCGTGTCTTGCTGACAGTCCAGCCTCTTCTAAGTCTTGCACTGAACATGCATGTGGTGGTTTACACAGCCACGGTGACCGGAGTGCTCTCTTGGAGCTCCTCCTAAGGGAGGAGATTCCTGAACCATAGCAGGGACAATGTCAGAAACATGCAAGCCTTTTATGTTTAATGTCTACACATAGATTCAAAGATACTCAGCTCTGCAGTAGGCTGGAAAATGCTAATGCCTCAGGTTAACTTTAACTGTAGACTGTGGGCATGGCAGGCTGTCCCTACCATGGCTCACCGACATCCTGATTTGAAGAATGCAAGTTCCAAGGTGCTTTAAACAGGGCAAAGGTTATCAGACTTAATCACTACTTTTATTTGGCACAAAGCCTCACCTCCTTTCTGTATGCCAACATCAAATCTCTCTCAAGATCAAATGAGAAGTTACCCAGAGGACAAGTCTAGCCCTTTCAACTCTAGAGAAAGTTTGCTTTTAGCCATGCTGTCTACAAGGAGATTTTCTCTCCTTAGTATTGTTACGTGTAAAACAAGGAATGATGGAATTTGATCTGCCTCTCACCTTTAAGCAAGGTAAAACATTAATATGGCATCAACACCCACACTGATTCCTGCCAACAGCTCTGCCTTCTTTTCTGTCTAAGAAAACTCTTGATTAGAGAGCTGGCTGCTGCAACATGAATTTGCAACTGAGGTGGGGACTGGTGCTGTCAAGAAATGTAAACAGTTTTCCCGATATCTATATCAGACACAGAAATACAGGAGATACATTACACTGGAGCAGCAATATAATATCAAGGTTTAGCTGAGGCTCTGTAGCACACAGCAGAAAACTGTCACCCCTGTAAAAAAATAAAATACATGTAAGCCAGTCATGTACTCAAGGTGAAGGCCACAAGGAGCTGAGCCTGCAGGAGTGCTGCAGAGGTGGAATCAGCTTTCTGACAAACAAAACTAAAGAGCGAACAGCACTAGAGGTTGCTTTGAATCTAGAATGGTAAGTCATGAGGACCAAGAGCCAACCTGCACCCAGCAGACTCTGTGGCCACCTGTGGTTGGAGCCAAAACCAGTGAGAATGTTTTTGTTTTGTTTTGTTTGTTTGTTTTTTAAAAAAAGAGAGAGAGAAAAAATAATGATGTTGGAGGAAAAATGTTCTATTTTAGTATCTTTTAATTTTTCCCCTCTTAATTAGAGAAAACCATCAAGCTAAGATTTTCCATTAAATGTCACTTGGCTGAGACAGAAATATAAAGAATGTTTAAGAAATAACAGATTTTAGAGAGGTGTACGTGTGTCTGATGGAAGAGGTTGAAAAGCTAGCCTAGTGAATTTATGGGAAACGCACATCCAAAGGAAAAAAAGAAAAAAACACAGTGTTTTGGTTGAGAAGTGCATTCCATTACCCACGACTCACTGGAGAGATATATGGTGCTAGAGTCTGGCACTGGCTGAGAAGGATCTTTATTCCTGTGGTGTTTTTATTCCTTTCAAACTTTAAATTATCTTTATATGTACCTTTCACTCCCAAGAAAAGGCGCCTTCAATAGATTTTTTTTTTTTCCTTCATAGTGAAGATTTATACTTAAGTGGTTTGAAGTTTATATCCTTTATATCGTTAGTCAATAATCTCAACTTTACTCTAAATAGCAAGGGCTCGGAAAGTCCTGGGCCTTGGGATTATTTTTTCTTCAGTCTCTAAATATTTTTTTACTGGATAGTGCATTCCTAGATTACCTAATTCTCTTTTGGCTTGGGGACAACATTATCTTTCATGAGTTGGGGCCAAAGAGTTTCAAACCCAGCTAGGCAGTCAGCTCTCCCTCAATTCCATCAATGTGAACATTTTTCCTGCTGACTTTAGCAGAGAAATTGAGAGTTGAAAAAATGTGAAGATGCTGAACTATCCTTTAGGCCCAGCAGCTCCACGCTGTAGCCCATTAGCAAAGCTTCACGGGATGATTCCTGGTGACCCCTCTTCATCTCAAAACTACAGTTAAAACATGTATGGACTGGGCCCCTCACTAGACCTGCCCTCCTTACATCTAGAATTGCGTCTGAACCACGAGAAACAGAGAAATGCATTTCACTCACAGGCCACCAACTCATGGATCGTCCAGCTAGGAAATAGCCTCCAATGGTCCCCCGGCTTGCTCGTATCGATGACTGGAAGCACAGGCAAAAGAAAAATGTTTTCCTCCATTCACCCACCTTCAAGTCAGACCCAATGCCCATCCCAGTAGCCTCAAAACATCCCATAGCAACCTGTTGCACCACCCTAGTCCTGCTCCCTTGGGTGTCACTGCAGTCAACTGGCTTGCTCTACCCAGAGCAGCACAGACAGGTAGTGCATGGCTCTGATACAGGCTGAAGCAGGACCCCTGTGAAAGGCATCTAATTTTGAGGAATCTAGGGGTTTTGCTGATCTCAGCCATGTGAAGATAAATGTTTGCAGCTCCAAAAAAGTCTGCCCGCCTTCTGATGATGGCATGAATTAAGAAGCAGCATTTCCCTCCTCACTGTCCAGCATCCCTAAGAAATGCCCTCAGAGTCGAATAAGGGAGAACATGGCACAGGGATGAGAACCAGAGGACAACTTTGTATCCCATGGGATGCCGTCAAAGACAGCATTTGGGCAAGACATGCAGGTTCACTCCAGAATGTCCAGCAATGCCCTGTTGCGACTCCTGCTGCCTTGCTTCTTCCCATTGCTGCAGATTCAGGGTTTCTAGCAGCCCCACACTTGTATGGCCACATCACACAGCTCCATCTAGGAACTGCATGAGAACTGCAGCGATCTCAAGAGCAATAGGATGTCCTTAGGCCAGCAAGCCCCTCAATGTGACTGAGGCTGACTGTGTGTCCTGTTTTTGGCTGGGATCGAGTTAATTTGTCTTCTTGGTAGCTAGAATAGTGCTGTCTTTTAGATTTAGTATGGGATTTGCTATGAGAAGAATGTTGATAATACACTGATGTTTTGAGTTGTTGCTAAGAAATCAAGGACTTTTCAGCTTCCCATCTTGCTAGTGTGGCAGGTGCACCAGAAACTGGGAGGGAACATAGGCAGAGCAATGGACCAAATTGGCCAACGAAATATTCCATATCATATAACGTCATGCTCAGTATATAGAAGAGGTTTGGCCAGGAAGCTGGCACTCTTTCTTCTGGGATTGCAGTTTCAGGATATTCTCTTCTGTGGGATCAGTAGCCGGGAATGGGTTGGGCATCAGTCGGCAGGTGGTGAGCAACCGCATTGTGCATTACGTTTGTATTTCCTTTTTTTTTTTTTTTAAATTATTAAAGTGGTTTTATCTCAACCTACAAGTCTCCTTACCTCTACCCCTCCAATTGTCTCCCTCATCCCCTGTGCGGGGAAGGGTTAACAAGCAGCTGCGTGGTGTTTAGCTGCTGGCTGGATTTAAACCACAACACTGTACTCGCTATTTGCAGCAACCAGGAATTTGCAGTTGGGCACTATAATAAAATGGTTTGCTGCAAAATGCCTACCTGTATGGCAGCACCCAGGCTGGTGAGCAGCACTGCCACCAAGCCAGGAGAAGCCTGAACGCCTGGTCTTAGCATCAGCTCCAAAACCTTTTTGTGTATCTGTTAAGTATGCCAGGCTTCACCCATTGCTTGTGTCTCTCTTTGTGCAGGTTTCTGATAGTCCAGCTTTGGAAAGAAGCTGCCTGTGCCTATTTAACGACTTCTCCTTGAATGTACCAGTTGGGAAAGAAAAAACACTTCAGCCAACCAGAACTCTATAGGTTTCTGTGAAAGAATAGGAACAAATAATTATCAACAATCTATCGAAAGCTTTCAAAAGTCTCATCTCAGTCTTCTTCACACCAACCCTGGCCCTTCTTCTGCTCCCTGCTTGCCCATACCCTGGCGTGAGACTACTTTGCAGCATGCAAAGTAGACATCATCCCCAGAACAACCTCCAGGGAATGACCCCTTATTTGTCCCCATGTGGGGGTGGGGGCTCACAGGAAGGTCACTGTCACCCCCAACTTACTCAATAGGCCCTGGGATAATGCTGTGTGCAGAGGATGCCTTTTGTAGGCAAACACCTTTGTACCCAGGAGGGGTCCAGGAAGGATCAAAGGCTCTCCGCCCCAGGCAGACCTAAACCCTGTCACCTCGGGGACTCACCCATATCCCAACAGCGAGGACAAAGGCGAAGTAAAATACCACGACGATGATGTCTGCCACCTCAAAGGCCGCTGTCGTGTCCCCTGGCAGTGCGGGCAGCTCCGTGGTGGCTGAGGTCGGCTGGCTCATGACTACGAGCAAACTGCTGATTTTCTCTCTCACACTGGACTTTGGTGTGCGTTGGCCTTCATCACTTCCCTTGTAATAATTAACAGGGTGGATAAGGTGTGAGTGGGGATCAGAGGCCAGGCAGGACAGTGGCTAATGTTTTCCCAGCAGGAGCTTTGGCTCCATGGTTCATCAGTGAGGACCCCCCCATAGCTCCGTGGTGTGAGCATCCCTCCCAGATGCTCCTTCATCCTTTTACCAGCTGTCCCCTCTCCTGCCCATTTACCCATTGGTGACAACCACTGGGATGGTAAACGGACAACTGTCACCTTGTCTGATCCCCCAACCCTCTTTCACATCACTTTCTCCACAGATTCCTACAGGGCACTGTTCCTCCTAAGAAGAGCTGCCATAAAGGAGAGTTGGCCTTTCTTTCTGGTGTGGGTGGTAAGGATCCTGATCTGTGCAGGATGGGTGCAGCACCTGTGCTCAACCCCAGGGGCAGGAGCAGCCACAGGCGAGGGCACTGGTGCCTTTTTCCTCACTCAGTCCAGCTGCACGCTGCTGCCTTCCCATCCCATGCTGCAGCTCAGGGATATCCTGTGCTGCAGAGACCCACAGCCCCGGCGGATGGTCAGCAGGCAGGGAGCACGTGTTACTCCGCACATTCACTTCACAGGTAGCAACAGGGAGTGCAGGGAGGAGACAGCTGAGTTTTCTTGGGAGGCTATCCAACGGGCACACGGCCAGCAGCAAAGGAGCTAAGCTGATTTTGTGACAAGCAGAGCCAATGCCAGGTCACCCACAGGAGTTGGGAAAGCTGCAGCGGGAGCAGCAAGCTGTACCAGGGCATGGGCAGGTAGGAGGAGGCTGTGCCCTACCAAACTGCGAACTGCAGGTCCTCCTCCCCATTCCACCAGCTGCCTGGTGCAGGAGAGCAATTTCTCACCTGTGTGGGATGTCTTGCCCTTCTCCACCTCTTAATGTGGGGGCCAGGCAGGACCTGTGCCTCCACCTCGCTCTGCACCAGGGCCCTGCTAAAAGGTGCCAGGAGGAGTCCAGGATGATCCCTGTGGGTGCTTCAGTTGATGGTCATAACCCACAAACCTGAGACAGGCAGAGAGGCATAGACCTGGCTTCTTAGTCTGGTTCCTAATGATGCTAAAATGCATTTGTCTCCCAAAGATTTTGGCTCCTGACACCACCCTCAAAACCATGGGAGCTTGTGGCGTCTATTTTTTCCTTAGTTTATAAATACAAACATCTCCATACCATGGCTGGACCAGGTCACCCTCTGGAGATATCTCTCCTCTCTCTCCACTGGCTGAGCAAGAGCTACTTTTCTCCTTTCTGCTGAGTGCCCACAGTGCTGTGAATGCCCCTCCAAGACAGTGTCAGTTCCCTACCTCACTTTCCCAACTCACACTTGTGAGAAAAAAAATCATGAAAGGATCTAGCTGGATTCTAAAAGAAAGAGGAGAACACTTGGGACACAGATAGGGTGGTCCTGAGTGTGGCATCAGCCACCAAGACTCAAGCTCTGATGTGGCTGCAAAGGTCCCTCCATTTTCTCTGTCTGCAGCTACCTCATTCCTGCCAACGGGGGACAGGACACCTCAGTTGAGGGCACCAGCCTGGTTTGGAGACAAGGTGGGGACCCTCCAGCATCAGAACAGCTCTCTTTGACACCACCAGCCCTCTGAACCTGGGCACAGGGTGTGGGTCACACCACTCCTCTGCTCCTTTGCTGGGACAGCTTGTGAGGGTCACCCAAGGCTCCTTCCTACCGGGGTTTGCAGAGTCATTACAGAGCTGGCTGTGGGGCACAAACCTTCTCCAGACTGTCCCCTAGTCCTCAGTGCAGAACCACCTCCTACCTCCACCTCTGTGGCCATCCATGGTCCACCACCCCATGACATATCAGGTGGGAACATTTTGAACTCAGGCGAGCTTTGCTTCTTGGTTTCAAGGGAATCAACAAAAGCTAAAAAGGAAACTCCCGTCCACCACTTCTCCCCAGTCTGAGTCTCTCTGGGAGCAGCACCTCCCCACAGCCTCATTATCCACAAGAGGCTTTCCAAGACTGAAATGTTTCAACAAGCAAAAGTACAGTTACCAGAAATTAAATGCCTGAAAGCCTAAATCCCCTGGTGTAAACAGGCAGCTCTCCCTACACAGAGCTGATTTGCACTCACCCACACACTTTTCCCTCTTAATGCCGCAACACCTGAAAGCAAAAAGACAGTCTCCTAATCTTGAAATGCATCGAATTCCTGCCCAGGAAGCAGAGACAGTATCTCCAGTCTTTCCAAACCAGCAATCCTGCTCCCCATGGGGAGCCGAGCCCAACCCAAAGTATCTGCCCAACCCAGCTCCTCACCTTCCCAAGGCACTGTACCAGCAGCAATTAACATTTGAAAGCTTGCACCCTTGAAAAGTAAATACATCTAATAAACCATCGCTAGCAGCTGTGAGCTATCACCAGTCCATTTGACCCACTAGAATGATATTGGCTTATGGTGGCAGGACCCTGTCAAGTTTTACTACACTGACTGGATCATCCCAAGCCATATCAGCCAACCCCATTTCTGGTGCAATTGGGCAGGATTGCAATGGCTGCACCTCAAACACAGACGATACCTCAAGCGTGTCTGCAGCGGTGCCCTCCTTTGCTGCTCGGCAGGCTCGTGGCCCTCCTGCCTTTGGTCCCGTCCAGGAGGAGTTGCTCTGCTCGCCACTCCTCGGGGCTGGCCGTGGAGGCGTGCTCCTTCTGCACCTCCTGGTGTGCAGGGATGTGGCTGCCATCCCTCCCCACAGCCGAGGGGATGACCCGTGCTGGCGGTGCGTGACGCTCGCCCTGGCTCCCGGCCCGGCGGCAGGAGCCTCGGGCACGGTGCGAGGTGCACGGCTGTGCCGGGCCCTGGCAGCAGGACAGCGCTTATCTCCCCCTCCACGCACTCTTAAGTCAACACTGGCAGCCATCCACCCCCAGGAAACATGGCACTCCTTGCCCTGGGAATGGATGGGGGAATTCACATGCCCAGGAAACAATGAAAATTCAACACAGCTGACAAACAAACAAACAAGCAGCCGCTGGAGTGAAAGATATTACAGCAGCCTAAGCCCAGCAGGTGCAAGTGGGCAGATCTCTATTGATTCTGGGGGAGGCACGCTCCTTTACTCCCGCTTATCTCCAGGGGACCTGGCAAGGCAAACCCATCTATCACAGCAGGCAAAGCACCTCAAAGACTCTCGGTCTTGTAGACAAAGCTGATTTTTGCTTCCCCAAAGCTAAGGGACGGGTTGGCTTATGTTACCTGCAGTGGTGGTGGCAGAGGAAGTGTGTGGAGGGGCGAGCTGGTGAGCAGCAGGAGCAAAGCTCCCGTCGGGTGTCACCCATGTCACGAACAGGAGCTGGCGGAGGTGGTGGCTGTACTCATGGGGGAAATGGGCCTAGAGGGCTGAGCTGAGGAATACAGATCTTCAACTTGCCCCCATTCCCTTTCTGAGACATCACTCCTCTACCCCCAAAAAGCCTTACCCTCCTCCCTCCAGGACTCACTCCCCGGTGCAGGCCTGGCTTCACCCAGTCTTTTGTCTTCGTGAGGGCTGAGATCAGGGCTAGCAAACGGCGGGCAGAAGACAGCCTCTGGATTTCAGACGGCAGGGCTGGGACTACCTCACGTGTCTCATCTCCTTGGCCAGCGTTGGGCCCACTGGCACTGAGCCCTGCAGCCACAGCCTCTCCCAGCACCCTCGCAGACTTGCGGGACAGGCTGCAGAGGAGCAGCAGCCCTGTAAGACTGCACAGTTTAAGCAGTACCTCAGCGCTGTAACCCACCCGCCAGAGGCCTCCTGCAGCGCAGTTAATATGCTCTCCTCTCCTTGAAGTAAAAGTGACAGGACGTTTAGTGTCCTCTTGCGGAATGTGCTCCCTCACTCATGTCACAGCAGCTGAGAATGAGCCCTTCAGGGACTGGAAATTAGAAGTGGTGTATCAAAGTGTGCAGCTCAAAAAAAAAAAAAAAAAATGTGCTGAAGAGCAAGTGTTTCTGGGGCAAAGGATGTTCAGTTAAGTGACAGGCAATTATTTTTGCAAATGTTAACGAATAAATGGACTTCCTCTTCATTACGAAGCTGCTTCATAGTCATCAGCAAATAGCTCCAATGACAATTAGTGAATTTCTAAATGGATTGAGAAATTGGCTTATATACAGATAACAATGCAATAAGGCAAGGCGATAGCCAAGCCTCACTTCTCACCTTACCCCCTGGGGGGGATTTTTTCTGCATTCTGGATGGGTGAGGCATTCAGCTAACCATTATTTTCTTCTCAGCCCTTTCTCAGGGGGAATGACTCTTGAATGAAATCCAGCAGCTTAATTTCGGTTTGATATGAATGGGCTTTAAATGTATTTAATGTTTAAAGGCAAGCTATTCAGCTCAGAGACTGCTCCAGAGGAGCAGCACGGTGGGGAGCAGGCACAGGCAGCGGGAAGAAGAGCAGACCCCCGGGAAGCCTCGGCAGTGCTACCACAGCTCTTTTCTTCCCTCTGCAGGCCACACTCTGATTTTCACTCCTGGACTGTCCCATAAAACTAGAGCAATTCCATTACCTCAAGTTTCCTTGCATTTCTTTTTTTGTTATTGTTGTTTGACCCTGGGGTGAGTCAGGGATAGCTGTGCTGAAGGCAGTGGTATAAACGCTGTGCAGAAGAGCCAGGAAAGGTGCTGGTTTCTGTGGGAACCTCGGGACCTTGGCCAGGCTCATTTGTGCACCCATCACACCAGGGGGAATGCTCACAGCTCTGTGTGCTGGAGAATACTCCTGTCTGCCCCTGGGGCAGGGAAGAGGCCCGGGGAGGATGCGTTTGCTCAGTTTCAGCCATGAAATTCTGGCGCAGAGGCAGGTGGGCTCACATAGGATAAGCTTTGAGATTTCCCCTCAGCAGGGATCTGGGAGCATGGACCTCTCCCAGCAAGCGGCACTGACCATCCCTTACCTCCCTCGTCACTCTATCCCAAAGATCACCTGTAGCTCCTGCCTGAGCACTGTGGACCCATGACCCTGTCGTGTGTGTAGATTAAGGGCATCCTTGACATACAGGGCAGTTTCAAGTTAGTATATCAGAGAATGTTTGGGTTGGAAGGGGCTTTAAAGACCACCTAGTTCCAACCCCCTGCCACAGGCAGGGACACCTTCCACTAGACCAGGTTGCTCAAAGCCCCGTCCCACCTGGCCTTGAACCCTTCCAGGGCGGGGGCAGCCACAGCTGCTCTGGGCACCCTGGGCCAGTGTCTCACCACCCTCACAGGGAAGAATTTCTTCCTTATGTCTAACCTAAATCTACCCTCTTTCAGTTTAAAGCTGTTACCCCTCATCCTATCCCTATACCTCCTGATAAAGAGTCCCTCCCCACCTTCCCTGTAGCCCCCTTTAAGCACTGGCAGGCCGCTGTAAGGTCTCTCCGGAGCCTTCTTTTCTCCAGGCTGGACAACCCCAACTCTCTCAGCCTGGCCTCATAAGGGAGGTGCTCCAGCCCTCTGATCATCTTTGTGGCCCTCCTCTGAACCCGCTCGAGCAGGTCCATGTCCTTCTTATGCTGGGGGCCCCGGAGCTGGACACAGTACTCCAGGTGGGGTTTCATCAGAGTGGAGTAGAGGGGGACAATCCCCTCCCTCGACCTGCTGGCCACACTTCTTTTGATGCAGACCAGCACTTGGTTGACTTTGCTGCTGCAAACACACACTGTTGGCTCATATTCAATTTTTCAACCCCCAAGCCCTTCTCCGCAGGGCTGCTCTCAGCCCACCCATTGCCCAGCCTGTGTTTGTGCTTGGGATTGCCCCAATCCGTGGGCAGGACCTTGCACTTGGCCTTGTTGAACTTCATGAGGCTCACACAGGCCCACCTCTCCAGGTGCCACTGGATGGCATCCCTTCCCTCCAGCATGCCACCACATCACACAGCTCAGTGTTGGCAAACTTGCTGAGGGTGCGCTCAGTCCCACTGTTCATGTTGCCAACAAAGATGTTAAACAACACTGGTCCCAATACCAGCCCCCAAGGAATGCTACTCACTACTGCTCTCCACTTGGACATTGAGCCATTGATTGTAACTATTTGAGTGCGACCATCAAGCCAATACCTTATCCACTGAAAGGTCCATCCATCACATCCATGTCTCTCCAATTTAAAGACAAGGATGTTGAGCAGAACAATGTCAAATGCTTTGCATGTCCAGGTAGATGATGTCAGTTACAGTTTCTGCTGCACTTAATTGGGACAATTAAGTGAGAGGAGATGCCTTGGGCTAAGCATGGTATTATCAACCAGGCAATATAGGCTGAAGTGAACATTACTGAGTGGAGTCTCATCCCATCTGCCCTTATCCAGATGACTCATCTGCCACCCTGAACACAGGGTTGTGCCTCCCTGTTCAGCTGAGCTGCCACAACTCCTCTGGCTGCTCCTTTCATCCTCATGTGCCCCACTTGGAAACTTCTGTGACTGCTGGGAAACTAATGTGAGAAACCACAGGAGGAGTTTCAAGGTGTACTTCCAGCCATGGCTGCCTAGAAAATCATTCTAGAACTGAGCAGACTTAGGCTGGATAAAATATGTCACATTTACTGAGTGACTTTTCTGACTAACAGCCAGAGTTTGAAAGATATTAGCAAGGGTGAAACATTAAGTGACAGAACAAGGACACTTTAGATGAAGGATGTTGTTCTCCCTTTAATTTACTCCCCTGTACAACCTTGCAAAGATCTCAGCAGAGTAAGTGTCCTTATTGATGGATACGCTATCCTTGTTAAGATGGGACAATATACTTATTTACAGCTTTCATCATTGTCACGAAGGCACAAAGCAAACAGATATAACTAATGAAGATTTAGCTATTACATAACGTCTTTGCTAACTCCATGCAGAAGCCTGGGTAAAAGCTTTGGGAATAAATCTTTTTGTAAGCACATTTTTAATGAATTTAAGACATAAAGAGATCTACTTCAAGTTTGTATTAGGACTCCGGGTATTGCCTGTCTGAAAAGATGGCTCAAGTTTGGAGTACAAATTAAATGATGGCCTGAGAAACACCAAGGAAGTGAAAGCCACATAAGCCCTATGATTTGATCTGTGAATTAGTGTGTTCATGGTGATGATCCACAACAAGTCTGTCATGAACTGTGACCATGAGCTACCACCAGCAAGATAAAGATTCAGTAATAACAAATCAACAAACAAAAGAGATGGAGGAGTTGCAGTAAGAACATGTCCACCTCATTTTATCCTCTTTGGGTGCCTCTGAAGATGACAACCAGCCAAGTGGGAGGGCAGGAGGCAAGTCATGCTGCCCAGGACAGTAACGTTCCACAGCAAAGAAGGTAAAGTAATGCTTCATAGTGCCTGCAAAGGGAATGTTTGGTAGGTACAACAGGAACAACCAGTTTCCTTTGATGTTCTCCTGCAACCTATTGTCTGAGAATCACAAGGAACTTAGACCAAGACTGGTAAAACTGGAGGTGGTGCATGATCACCTGGAAAGCTCCTGTGGGTCAGGGAACAGGAAACCTATCTCTGTTGCCTGGTATGACCTTGCACAACCCTTTTACAGATCATACAGTGGGGAATAAAACAGTCTTTGTTGAACAATTTTGATATGTGCTCTGTAAAAAAAAAAAAAAGCACTCCCTACACACAACTAAAAAGTGATCCAATGCAT